AAAAAAAAAAAAAAAAAAAAAAATTGACCTCATTGGCCTGTGGAGATGTCTTGGTAAGCACACATGCTGCACACACATGAGGACCTTAGTAAATCTTAGGCACTCACATAAAAAGCTGGACATAGTCATTCACATTTGTAACCCCAGCACTGTGGGTCCTAGAGACAGGAGGATCACTAGGGTTGGTGCTACCCTGCTTTCAAATTCCTGAGAGATTCTGTCTCAAGGACTTAAGACAAAGAGTGATACTACAGGACACTTGATATTCTCCTCTGACTTCTATGTGTGTACTTACACATGTGCATAATATCCACACACCTAAAACAGAGCGCCCTCCCTTCAGCTTCTTCACTGTTTTGTTTTGGTGCAGGGGAATGCTAAGTATTTTTTTCTTGCTCAGATGTTTTATAATTACATAATTTTTATAAAGTTCATGTTAAGTGCTGGGCCTGTAGCTGAGGTGGTTGATTATTTGTCTAGCATGCATAAATAAGGTCCTGGATTCAACTGCCACAGCATAAAGTGGGCATGGTGGGGCATGCCAGTTATCCTAGCATGTAGAAAATGGAGGCAATAGAAGTAGAAGTCCAAAGTCACTTGACTACTTGGCAAGTTGAAAGCCAGCCTGAGATACAATCCTTAGGGAGTCAAGGGGTCTCATGAGCCCCCCCACTACGGCGGGTTGATGACCCCAACCGTGTATCATAATCATAGCTGCTGTGGGCTCAAGAGTATAGTATCCATGTCATGCCCAGCAGAGAACATTCAAAACATTTTCTTTCTTTTGGTCCTTTACATTCTTTACTCCTTGAGGTAAAGTCTTGGGGTAGGCAGTTGTGGATGTCCCATTTATGGTTGAGTGTGTAGCAGTTACTCTGGTCACTTTGACCAGTTGTGAGTCTGCAGTTACTGCTGCCCACTGCAGCAGAAGTTTCCTAGGCCAAAGTTGACAGCTTTTGGACACAAGCCTAATTATTTAGAAGGAAAAAATGATGGCCTTATCATCTCTGTTTAGCAAAACAACAGCAGTGGCTCCCTCACCAGGGCCTATGGCCTCCATAGTCCCAGCTTTTGACCAGATTTATTGAGACCAGAAGTGAATTCCTCCCAGTGGAGTGGGTCTCAATATCAGCCAAAATGAACTTGGTTACCCCCATAACAGATGTACCTCTAATGTACTTGTGGGACAGGTTGATATAATGTGCAAGACCCACTTCATAGTAAGATTCCTCCCAGCAGCCTGCATAGCCTGTTCTGGCACTATGAAGGTTAGCCCTCAAAGAGGAAGCTTTTTAATCTCAGTTCCAGTTTGATTTCTCTGTCTATAACCAGATTATGTGGTGTCTTCAGCAATAAGGCTATCTATCTAGTCCTGGTGAGCAGCCAGCTATTGTAGCAATCACCTGTATTATTTGGTGTTCTCAGGTCTTCCTGAACAACAAACAACTTGGCCAGCGGTAGGGGGAGGGCAGAGTCACTGGGTTCTTCATTTAATAATCTATGGCTTCTGGGGGTCTGATTATCTCCCCGTTCAGGATACCTCATTTCAACTCTTTATTTTTAATTAGTTTACCAAGTACCAGGTTTCCTTAAGACTTTTTCATAGATCCTTAGTTTTGTCTGACCTCCCCCTAAGCCTCGCCTCTGTTTCCTTATTTCCTTCTTAAAATTTTCTATTCCCTAGTGTACCCTCATAGCACATGTGTTCTACACCACCCTTCTAGGATTGCTTGGTGTTTCTTTTTAAATTTTATTATCTTTTGAGGCAGGATCTTGTTATGCAGCCCTAGCTGGTCTGGAACTTGTAAGCTCTATCTGCCTGTCTCTTCTTCCCAAGTTTTGGGATTAAAGGTCTATGCTATTATGCCTGGCTGAAATTGCTTTTGATCATCAAATAATTTCATTAATAAGAGTATTAGAAATTAGAACCAGTTTTTTTTTTTTTTTTTTTTTTTTTTTTTTTTTTTTTTTTGAGGATAGGGAGCAGCAGCATTATAGAGATGAAAAAACCTTCAACATCCTTAGCTGTTGGGAAAATGCACTTACAGCCACTTTGAGATTCCATCTCCTCCCAATCAGAATGGCTATTGTCAAGGAAGCAAATGATGGAGCTGGAGAGATTGCTCAGGGATTTATGAGCACTGCTGTGCTCTTCCTGAGGATTCAGGTTCAATTCCCAGCCACCACATAGCAGCTCACAACTCCAGTTGTGGAGGATCCTGACACCTTCTGACCTCCACAGGCACTAGGCACAGACATAAATACAGGCAAAACTCTCATACACATATATAATAAAATCAGATTAAAGCAAGTAACAAATACTGGCAAGGATATGGGGAAAGGGCTAGTGGAAATGTGAACTTGTGCATCCATTATGGAGATTCTTCAAAGAGCTAAGAATCCAACTATGTGTACTTGCTCATCCATGTTCATTGCTGCACTGTTCATAATAGTCAGGAAATGGAGGCAACCTAGATGGCTATTGACAGATAGCCAGCCTAGAAAATGTGGCACACAGTAGAATTTTTTCATGAAATCAAAATATTTTCAGGAAAATGTATGCATCTGAAAATGATGTTAATTGTAATAAACCAGATTCAAAGACATCCATGTTTTCTCTCCTATGGAATAGAAAGAGGATCATGAGAGGAGATGAAGAGATCTTTGGGAGATGGGAAATAGGAAAATGGAATACGAGCATAAATTGGGACTTAATTGGAGAAGAGAGCGGACCCACCTGGGTACTGCACATGGGAAAGGACAGTGGGAGAAGGAAATGAATGAGAACAAAGTATAATGAGGTATGTGAAGGTGCTGTGATGAAACCCATTACTTTGTATGCTAACTGAAAATTGTAATAAGTGAAAAAACCTGTATGGGTATTTAATGAAACAAAAACAAGTTGCTTATATATTCCCCCCCCCCCTCCTTTTTGGCCTTCTGGTAATTGTTTTCAGAAGTGACTGAAAAGGTACCAGGCCTGCATTGAGCTCTTTATCTTATTTGTTAAGCACTAAAGAAGAAATGCCTTCAATTCAGAACTGAATGCTTAGGAATCCTCACAGTGAAAGTCATGAAAGTTACCTCTTCCTAAGTCATTTTTGAAAGTTAGATGAGGTATTACATGTGAAGTTTATTGTGTTTCTCGAATCCTCCAGTGTTTGTACAACTTTACTCAACTATTTTCAGTTTCTAGTGAAATCACTTCCTTTGCAATTATTCTTTAATGTAGCTCTGGCTGGCCTGGAACTTGCTATTTACCTTGTTATTTACCTTTTGGTAAATAACAAGATTTTTTATGAGTCTGAACAATCATACTCCTTCACCTTATTCCTTCATCTGTTGGGGATTCTCTTGTCTGTATCTTAGCTAGCATGAGTGATGCTGTAGTGAGCATAGGCTATTTTTACAAGCACCTTACTGCATTTCCTTTGGATGTATACCAAAATAATAATAAAATAAAATAAAATAAAATGCAATTGCTGGATCATATACTGTAATAGTTTTATTTTTAAATTTTTGAGAAACCTACCATTTTCAGTAATGGCCTCATGGGTCCTTCCTCCCACATTCTCTGTTCTCCACACCCATGTCAACACTTGTTGTCACTTGTCCTTTTTTATAGCTATCCTAACAGGTGCATGGTGGTATCTTTTTGTGGTTTTAATTAGCTTTTCCCTGATGATTAGTGAGGTATTTGAACTTCTAAGTATGTATGTTTGTCATTTTCCATTGATTGGAGTGGGTGGTATTTATATTCTTTGGCCATTTTTGAAATTAGCTTTTTTTTTTTTTTAAAGATTTATTTATTTTGTTTGCATTGATGTTTTGCCTGCATGTATGCCTGTGTGAGGGTGACAGATTCCCTGGAACTGGAGTTACAGACAGCTGTGAGATGCCATGTGGATGCTGGGAATTGAACCCCAGTCCTTTGGAAGAGCAGCCAATGCTCTTAACCACTGAGCCAATTCACCAATCCTTGGTTTTTACTCTTGGCTATGAATATTCCTCATGTGCCTTGAATATTAACTCCTCGGTTTTAGGTTTTAAGATGAGTTCCTGGGCTTTTCTGTGTTAAGCACATAGTTTGGTTGTCTAAAGGAGAAACTTGTATGAGTGTTCTGGGCAGTTATTTCTAAACTATTTAGAATCCAGAAGGGTGAAGATTCAAGCGTTTTCAGACTTAGTAATTTTACTTTAAGAATTAGTTATAATGCTGGGTGTAGTGGCTCACCCTTAGGATCCCAGCATTGGGGAAGCTAAAGCAAGAGGATTCCAGTGAGTTGGAGGCAACCTGGACTATATTAGTTCCATGGGTTACAGAGTTAGACCATCTCAAAAATAAAACTACAAAAACTGGTGCTTCTCAAGTGACCCTTTCACTCTCTGTCCTTTTCCAGTGTCGTGAGGTTAGCATTATACTTCTCCAGTGGAGCCCATGACTTCTGATCAGGACACTAAAATTGTGGCTGAACCGCAGGCACAGCGAGTCCAGGAGGGCAAGGACAGCTCTCATCTGGTAGGTGTTGGAGGGAGGAGAGGCCCACAGGCCACAGGCATCCATTTGTTTTTCTAATAAAGAACACTACATTGGACTTAAGAAGAGTCTTTGAACAAGTGTATCAATTATAACAGTCTTACAGAGGCATAAGGACTTCTTACTCATCCAGTGTTCCTGGCTGAGATCCCTACAGTAAGAGAAGCACATTTATTTAGCAGTGAGTTAGAGGTAAAGACCTATAGGGCAAACAGAAGCTCACTTGTACAAGAATGGTGTAGGCCTGCTTAAGTTGTCTTGGCATCTCTGTGTGGCATCCCTGTCTTTAGTAACTGTGTAACTCACAGAGATCCGCCTGCCTCTGCCTCCTAAGTGCTGGGATTAAAGGCGTGCACCACCACCACCACCACCACCACCACCACCACCACCACCACCACCACCCCAGCTACTTTCTATGTTTTGATTCTGAAGTTCCCTCAAATAGCAAGCTCTAATATTTCAGACTGAACCCTGTGCAGCTTTAGTAGCAGAAACTAAAAGTACTGGATCAATGGTTCTCAACCATCCTAAAGCCACATCCCTTTAATACAGTTCCTCGTATTGTGGTGACCCCAACCTTAAATTTTTTTCATTGCTATTTCATAACTGTAATTTTGCTGCTGTTATGAGTCATAATGTAGATATCTGAGATGCAACCCCAGGTTGAGAACTGCTGTACTAGGTGATACAGAAAACACCTCTAACTTTAGATACTTAAAGCTTTGTATCAAGAAAATGTGATTTAGGGCCAGGAGGTGAGTAAAAGCAGTTGTCACACAAGCCTGACAATCTGAATTAGATTCCCATATTCCACAATGGAAAGTTGTTCTTTGACTTCATATGCACACTGGTTCCCATATTCCACAATGGAAGGAGAGAAGTTGTTCTTTGACTTCATATGCACACTGGCACCCACCTACCCACACTCACACACATGCTGTAAACATACATCTAACATATACAAATAATAATAAATAAAATAATGGAAGTGTAGGCTGGAGACATGGCTACGTAGTGATATGTTATTTATGATTTATTAAAGCTTGCATTAAGAAAGCAAAGTCAGCCTCAAGCCATAGAAGCCAGGCACACACCTTTAATCCCAGAAGCCAGAAGCAAAGGGGTGGTGGTACATGCCTTTAATCCTAGGACTCAGGATTAAGAGATAGACGGATCTCTGTGATTCCAAGGCCACCCAGATCTATACAAGTCTAAAAGAATTCTAGCTCCCACCTTTAATCCCAGGACAGGAATAGGTGTCAGTATGAGGCATTCATTCTCAGCCAGCCACGCTAAGGAGAGGTTACAGTCCGAGCCTTAGTGACAGCTCATGGAGACAGGATTAGCCCATTTAGTCCAAAGTAGCAGTAAGAAGCTAGTGGTTAACTGCTTTGTTTTTCTGATATTCAGTCTCTGGGTGTTTTTATTCATGTTACATGGCTCCATAATTAAGAGCCCTTGTTGTTCTTGCAAGGGACCTGGGTTGGGTTTCCAGCATCTACATCATGTCTGTTTTTTGTTTGTTTCCCCAGAGAAAGGGTGTAGCTTTGGAGCCTGTCTTGGAACTAGCTCTTGTAGACCAGGCTGGTCTCGAAATCACAGAGATCCTCCTGCCTCTGTCTCCTGAGTGCTGGGATTAAAGAAAAGCATGGGCCACCACCACCCAGATTCCACATCATGTCTTACAACCATCTGTATATAACTCCACTTCCAGGGGATCTGACCCCTCTTTTGACCTCCATGGGTACTAGGCATACATGTGGTACACAGACATTCATGCATGCAAACACTAAGATGCACATAAAATAGCTTTAAAAGCTGAATACCTTACTAATATTACAGCCACTGTAGTAAAGTATATTTAAAGAGTTGATTGGGATTTTATTATACTTTTTGTTGTTTTGGCTACCTTTGAATTTTAATCCTAGAAAGAAGACTCAGTGTTTAAGAGTCCCTGGCACCCACCATAGGCAGCTTTAACTATCTTGTAAGCTTCAGGCCATCCAGTGACCCCCGAGGGCACTTGCACACAAATTTGAATACATACAAGCAACTTACATATAAAACTTTTAATCCTAGTTGGGCGGAGATGGTGCACCTTTAATCCCAGCACTCAGGTGGATCTCTGTGAGTTCTAAACCCTGTCTTACAAAACGAAAACAAACAAACAAACAAACAAAAAAAAAAACAAAAAAGATTTAATCTTGTCAAGCAGTAATAATTAAAGTTTCTAAGTGGTGTTGGGAAAAGTAGCTTTTTAAAATCACCCCAATTGAAACTACCAGAAATTTTACTTGGAACTTCAAAAATTATATATTTTTAGGTTCCTCTGTTCTTCTGAATGTGCTTAATCATAAATTTCTTTGCTAATGTAAAAACATGCATTTTTAACGGGTTTGGTTTTGCTTAATTACTATGGTTTAAAATTTATGTTTTCTTTATGTTATAATGATGAAGTTTTTGATGTTTTCAATTTTACAGATGAATGGTCCTATATCACAAACCACTTCTCAGACAAGTTCCATCCCAGCTTTGACTCAGGTAATTCATTTCTAGATTTATTACAGATTGTCTAGCCACAGCCGAGAGGGCCAGATATGGCATCATCCCAAATATGTATTGTAAAACATTTAGAAAAATGTAGATGTTTCTCAGGAGGAGGACCCATTTAACACTGTGTCCTTGAGTGTGTTAAGTGTTAATATTGTCTCTTTCCACAATGGAAGTGCCAGGTATATTAATTTATTCTCAAGTATTCATTACAGTGTTTTCAGTGTATCTGCATTCGGTTAATTGTATGTATGTATATGATTAACTTTACATTTTGATGATTGTTTTTTAAGAATGTGCGAGTCAAATCCTAAGTAAAAGAATAAGGAAATAGACTGAATATATAGCTTTGTTGATAGATGATTTGCCTCACATGTAGGGAGAGATCCTCAGTACTGTATAAACTGTGTATAGTGACCCGTAATTGTCATCCTAGTGTAAGAGGCAAGAAGTAAGGGTTCAGGGTCTAAATCCTACTGCCTTCTCTGCAGCCAAGTTGCCTCGGTGTTCTTAGTGGAACTACTTTGGCCTTGGGGCCATTTTCTATTGTAATGATTCTGTTGCATTTTAGCTTAAATGAGCAGAGATGCTGTTTGAGAGAGAGCAGTGTTAGTGGAAGTGCTTGTTTTCTGCAAAGTGCCATGTCTTTTGTAATCATGATATGGGATTTTGATTCTTCTTATGCACTAAACTATTGACAACTCAATAAAACCTAAACTATGTCAGAATGATCTTAACCATTTCATTATATCTAATTATTTCATGTGTATATGTGCACACACACATTAGACACAAGTCATAGCATGTTTTTAGAGGTCAGAGGACAAATTGGGGAGTCAGTTCTCTCCTTTTCACAGTGTTGGTACCAGAGATCAAACTTGAATTGTCAGGCTTGGCAGCCACTGCCTTTACCTACTAAGCCATCTTACTGTACCAACCAGAAATAATCCTTTAAAACTACTTAAAGATAACATGATAAGAGAACTTAACCAAAGGAACTGTCTTGAGATGTAGCACTGTGGTAGAATGTTTGCTTAGCTTATACAAGGCTATGTTTTACTCTCCTGCACCCCACCCCACCCATCAACAAATTATGCCTTTTAATGACATTGTTTCTGAGTGAATGGTTAGATTAATTACTACATGTCTGCATATTGAATAAGTAGGCTCATAGAAAGCTTGATAGTCTGAAAATAGCCAATACTTGCATTTGGTTTAAAAATGACACCTGCCAGCTTTTAGCACAGTATCTTACAGGTTAAATATTTTTAGCAGTATATAGTGCTTTTAGGAGAATTCTTATTTTTTTTTTTTTTTTTTATTTTTTGGGCTTTTTGAGACAGGGTTTCTCTGTTTAACCACCCTGACTAGAACTCACTTTGTAGACCTGGCTGGACTCAGACTCAGAGATGTCTGCCTACCTCTGCCTCCAGAGTGCTGGGATTAAAGGTGTGTGCCACCACTCCTGGTAAAATTAAACTTTTAAGTAGCAGTAAAATGTATTTTATTTATTCACATTATTGAGAGAGAGAGAGAGAGAGAGAGAGAGAGAGAGAGAGAGAGAGAGAGAGAGAATTCTAAATTTTAAACAAAACATGAATGTAACACACATATATGTGTGTTCGTGCGCGTGTGTGCGCGCGCGCACAAGAATGCAAGTGTACCTGTGCCACAGCAAACGTGCAGGTCAGAAATTCCATCCCAGCATGAACTCAAGTTACCAGGTTTGCACAGCAAAGCACCCTTACCCACTGTGTCCACTTGCAGTCTAGTAGTTGTAAATGTTAAAGGTTTCTGGTATTGTTTTCATTAAAGGGAATTCTTTGGTGGCTGCTGTCTTACATATAATCCAAGAGATATTGAAACACTGAAAAAAAGAGACCAGAAGTTTGGAATACTGGCAGGAATTCAACTTGAGTTGTTTTTAGAATTAAGTTTATGAAAATAAGAAAAAAGCCACATATATGTTTCTGTTACCTCCCCCCGACACCCTGTTCTGCACCTTTACATTCCGTGTGCCATTTGGATTTCAGTACAAGGAGTCTGATGAATGCCAGGCGGGGCTCTGTTGTCATTAGGATTTAGATTTGAGTGGCAGTAACATGTGACTGCTGTGCAAGGAGTTATTTTTGGTATCATGTGTTGGCTTCTTTTCAGACATGATAGAAAGTTAGTGTGAGACGTATTTGTAGAAGCTCAGAAAAGGGCAAGCATTGTGATGTGAGTTTTTGAACTTTCGATATGGGCTGTTGCTTCAGCAAAGAGTTAAGTAGTGACAGTGACAATGAGAAAATTGGCCTGTTACAAAAATCTGAGGAAGAGAAGAAACCGGAAAACAAGATAAGTAAAACTTTATCTTCATTATTTGGTAGCCTTGAATGTGAGGAGCTTCACAATGTTGAAAATGGACCCAGCAGAGCCACTGCTGGTGTCACTGTGTGGACTAGAGTTTTTACAAGGCCTGGGCACGAACTGGATCATAGATCAAATCAGTCACTGAATTATAATTCTTCTTCCATATATAAGTTCTCTCATGGGTCTGAAAATTTAGATGAGGGTGACAAGAATTTAGATACTGTTGTTATTGAAGAGAATTCTGAGATTGTCAGTGACCCCCTGTGTAGGAATAGTGATGGACAGGCTTGTCCTGAAGATGACCAGCCTTTCTCACATGAGCCCATGCCTTCTGACCCACAGGAGGAAACTTTTGTAAGTGACCATCTGCAGTGTTACCTTGCCACTTGTAAAAACTCTTCAATAGAGAAAGAAAAAGTACTAAATGTTCGAGTCAGTAGTTTTAATGAGAATAACTCTGTAGATGTTTCTGCTGGAAAGTTGCAAAATAAAAGCCATATTTGTCTTGATGACAAACACTGTAAGAATTCAAGGGAGAGCAAATTTTACAGTATTTGTGCTATAGATCTGGAGTGCTTGAACATGGAAGAGGAACTGTATATTCCCATGTATGGAGCAGCTGCAGAAGAATGTCATTCAGCTGTTACTTACGAAGTTTTCCAAGTGGATTGGCCTTTAGATAACAGGGAAGAATGTGCCACCTCAAATGCTGTACAGAGGGCAGGCGAGTTAAAGCTGCAGCATGAAGATCTGTTAGACCAGGATGTCCTACGCCCCTGTGAAACAAAAGAAGCATTTAGTGAGAAAAGTGACTGTAGTTCTGATATTTTGGTGTACCATGATGATCCATCTGATGAAGCACACATCAGTGACCTGCAAACTGATTCTCTAAGGGCACAAGTTTATGCCAAATTCCTTAAAGATCACACAGAACATAGTACATTGCATAATACTGGCCTACTCCCTGAATTAAATATTAACATAGGCAGTGACTCATTAAAATGTTCATGTGCTATATCTGAAGAAAGAGAGAACAGTGCTTCAGGAATAGGAAGTCAGGTGGATGATTCACTTGTTAATTTACTTAATGACATTTCATATGTTGATGGGAATGGTGAACCTGAGGCTATAACAGTTGGTGCTGGCCAAAGTTTAAACTCTAATAGGAAAAGAGAGCATAACTCTGAAAAACTACTAGAAGACAATGATTATTTTCATATCAGTGTTAGCAGGCCAAGTAGGATCCTTTCCTTTGGTCTAGATAAGATTAATTTAAGCCCTAAAAGGTTTGTTTCAGAGAGTTTAGCTAATGAGTATCTCCCAGTTCATGCTAATCTCAGAGAAGTTGCCTTGAGCAAACCTGATGTCCCCAATCCTGTACCCCACCGGGAGCCAGTGCTAATGAAGGAGCAACACCTAGGGAATAGCAGTCTGGAAACTGGAAGTATCCAGGTGGCAAACAGAGGTGAGATGTTCTTGTATTCAGAAAATGGTTCCACTTATCAAGATGAAGATAGAATGAGCATTTTAGAGATGGAGGGCCATGACAAGAGGGAGTTGAAATGTTGGTATCAAGCAAACCGCTGTGTAGGTAGTAGCGCAGACAAGGCTCAGACAGAGACCTGTGGTTTAACTCAAGAGGAAAGTGAACCAGATACAGAATTGATAGTCCAGAAGATAGGTCTGCTAAAGTTTGGACTTTCCCAAAGAATGCCAAATGACAAGTCTCATGATCACTCCAGACCTCTTCAGGACCCAGAAATGCCTCCTGCATTTATTTTCACCTGTACTGATACTGAAGCAAGAGAAGCAGTCCAACATGATAACACAGGAGAAGTACATGGGAAGAGCTTAGTTGGTGCAGTACACAATCAATCTACTGGACCCTATGTACTAGAAAAGGCTGAAAGGGAACCACAGGAGACTAATTATAGAGACACTGGTGAGGAGGACATAGAAAATGCCAAGTCAGATGCTAAAACAATCTTTCAGTGGAAAACAAGTGGTCTTAAATGTAACGTCCTGCCCAATGGGAACAAGGTAACTTGTATTGTTTCTGACATAGCTGCAGATCCTGATTGTGAAACTAATCAAATTGAAAACAGTTACAAAACTGATGGAGTGAATGAATACCCAGAGCTTACTGTTGTACCACCATTAAAGCAGAGTCCAGTGTCAAGTGAAGAGGAGTGGGTTAATAGTGACAAAAGCTCAGAACCGCATTTCATTAACTCTGAATCAATTAAAGTTTCTAATTCCTTTAGTAGCAGTGCATCAGAACTGAGCAAACAAAAACTAACTTGCAATGAAGAAAACGAGAATCTTTGTTTGGATAAAGACAGTTTTGATCCTAACAGCATTGTCCGCTTAAACCCATGCCAGACAAAAGGAAGAAATGCCAAGTCCACAGTTAAAGAATCTACTTTTAATGGAGAGGTGCATTTTTCAGGAAACTGTGAGGTGACTTTTAAAAAAATAGAGTTAAGCGACACTTCTGAGGGGTGTTCCTCTTTTACTGATGTTGACTCTATACAAGTGGATATACCTGCAGCTATTCCCAGTAATGCTCCCCAGGCAATTCCTGCCATCCCAACAGACAGTAAAGAATGTACAGTGCCAAGTGGTGACTGTGTTGCATTACCCACAGAGGACATCTTAAATGTATCTGAAAATCACTCAGAAATGGATTGGCACAGGATCCCAGAAGAGTTCTATGCTCATTCTTTAAATAAATTTTCCTATTACCCAATGGCAGGGCTAGCAAGCCAGGAATTTTCAGAAGGACTGGCAGGTGGGTGTGGTAGATATCAAGTGGGCTATCTCTGGGCTAACACAGCCTCAGAAAACATGACAGAAGATGCACAAGGTTTTAGTGAGGATCTACACATTAAGCCTCCGTATTTAGGAAATGCTTCATTTTCATTGGAACAGACCCCTTATCAGCTGCCAGTGTCAGAGGATGGTGTTGTTTGGGGATGGCAGACTAGAGGTGGACTGTTCGTAAGTATGCTGTATCAGTGTTTGTTGTGTTGTGCTCTGACAGTCTTTACCTTTTGATTGTGTTTGTGAAAATTAGTTAATTCTGGGTTGTAGGCAGCCTGGATGCATTTGTAAGACTGTGAATGCATCAATTTAACCTTTTTCAAATGAGAAATGTGAATTATTAATTGGTTTATTTAAGCCAGAGTTTGTGTGTAAACTGTTGGTGCTGAAGCGTGCCCATTAATTACCCAACAGCATTGTGCAGACCGTTCTGTATGGATACTATTGTGCTCAGTATCCCTTACCTTTCTGACAGGAGTTCTTGTCATATGGACAGTGTGAGGAGTTTCAGCAACTATTGGAAGTCACTGATAGCATGTCACATTTATAGAACACAAATACATTTCAAGTATGTTTTATTTTTGTATTGTGTCTAAGGCAGAAAATTTTGCTATTTGAAACTGACCCTAAAATCTTAGTTTCAGTCAAAATCACTTGTGTCCCTACCTCAGTGGGTTGGAAGAAGCTTTGCTGCTGATGTTGGGTAGCTAACTTGAGCATATGTATCATGAAAATAAATGACCCAGAGACAGATATTGGGGGTTCAACCTGAAAATCAGGGAAGAAAATCAGCTAAGCTACCAGAGAGTTCTTACCTCTAAAAGGCCTGGGGTGTTCTATTCTCAATGTGGCTGAAGAATGAATGCCTGGTACTGAGACCTTGCTCCTGTCTTTTTTTTTTTTTTTTCCCATTCATTTATTTAGTTCATAAATAAAGTCATGCACAGTTATGCTACAGAATACAGTATGTTCACAATGGCATGGCTAAATTAAACCAATTAACATGTTATATCACACATATTCATCATTTTTATATACCTCCCTAATGCTGGAACTAAAGGGGTGAGTGAGCTCTTTTACTCTTTTAGACTGATTTAGTCTCATGTAATCCTGGGTGGCCTTGAACTCATGAGAGATCCATCTACCTCTTAATCCGGAGTCCTAGCTTCTGGCTGCTGGTATTAAAGGTGTTGTGCCTGGCTTCTATGGCTCTTTGTTCCATTATCTCATATTTCCATATTTTGGTTTCCCCATCCACTTTTCCTTCTCTGACATTCCTCTATTCAGCAACCTGTTGGCAAGACCATTCTATCTTACATCTGTAAAATACAAACTTGTGAGTCAGTACCTTTTTTAAAAATAGAGCATAGTGATTTGAATATACAGAGCATCAGAACCTGTGAGTGGGATGCCCCATCCTTCAAAGAGAAGCAGTGTCGACTTTCTATGTACAGTCACTTCAGAATGTGGCAGCTAAGGTCAGCTTGTTTCTGGTTTTAATAACTGTTGCCAACACATATTTTCAGGGAAGAAAAATTCTGGCTCATAGAGCTAGGCAGATGAAACTAGGGTTCTTATTATTCTTTACAAGTTTCTTACACCCACAAGCAAAACCATGTTTTAAATAGTAGCAGGTTTGTCTCTAATAAAAATATTTTTCATGTCAATTTTGAGAAGTTAGTTTTTGAATGTTTTATGTTTGCTGTTACTGGAGCACAATTTTCTCACTACCATTGTTACCATTGGCAGATCATTCAACCTTTCTCTGTCTTAGTTTTCTTGTGAAATGAGGGTGGGTAGTAATATCTACCTATTAGGCTTGTTCTGATTGTAGTAGGAGTGCAGGATATTACCGAATCCTAATTAACTGCTCAGAATTGTGTAGCATTCCTCATATCTGGCTTGGACATAACTATACTTAAGGAATAATGGTGTCTTTCCTTTTTTTTTTCTTTTTTCTTTTTTTCTTTTCTAAATTTCTCTTTGTTTTTATTTCTCTGTGTCACCCTGGCCATCCTAGAACTTGCTCTGTAAATCAGGCAGGCCTTGAACTCAGAGGTTGGTTAGCCTCTGCCTCCCAAAGACTGGGATTATAGGCAGCACCACCGTCTCGCCTCAGATTTCTTATTTAAAGATTTATTTATTTTAGGTGCATGAATGTTTTCCCAGCATGTATCTGTGTACCATGTGCATACCTTGTGCTATGGAAGGTCAGAAGAGGTTCCCTGGGACTGGAGTAACAGGTTGTGAGCTACCACATGGGTGCTGGGAATCAAATTCTGGTCCAGATGGGAGCTCACTAGGCATCTTTTTTGTGGTGTGATGTGGTGTTTCAGGTATTGCCCAGTGAGTGGAGGTAGCAGAAGGTCAGTTGCTTCCAGGGGATGAACATAAATACTATTTGACCCAGGCTGTGGATTTAATCTACATGTTTGTAATTACAAATCTACATGCTTCCTTAATAGAGCTCATTAATGGTGCTTCATGTGTTATGGAGTGCAGAAATGAGTGCTGTCTATGCTGAACCCAGGAACAATGCAGCCTGGCTGTTCCCATCTTAGAACACTAAGTTTGAGGTACCACCCAGGATTGGGATCCCTTGTCCCTTCTTGAAGAATCTCTACTTCATGGTACCATGTCTGGTGGTGTAATTGAAAAGGCAAGTGGTTTGTTGAAGAAGTGAAATGGCAAATTGGCGTCAGTATTTGGGAAATAACCACTGGGATGTTTTATTTTTCACTGGGTTGGGGAAACATTAAGGGTTTGTAAGCAGAAGAAATCCAGGTTTGTTTGTTTTTTTTTTTACATCAGGAAAAAAAGCCATGGAAATGGAGAGTATCCACTTAGTGAGGGGATATATGGCAAGTTATAAAGTGCATGGGCAAAGACCATAATCCCTGAAGGAAATCAAAGGGTATGCTAGACAAACCGTACTGAAGTGCTGTTGTGTTAGAAAAAGCAAGCAGCTGATATGTCTGGAATTGAACAAGACCCAGGAGGTGTGGTGGTCCTGTAAGAGTGCTCTGAAACTCTGAGCTGGAAACCTTTAGATGAGGTCTCCAGCATCTAAGCATGGGATTTTATTGTCATTGTAATCAGTAAACTAATGATTTAATGAGTGCTCAATGAGTACCAGGTTTGTGCTGCGTGCCTTAAGCCATCACTTTATTTTTTATTATGAATATTTGAATTTCTTTCCTTTTTTAAATTAAAGTACCTGCAAATAAAAAAAAACATCATGCACAATTATCCAGGACCTATGTCTATAAACCTCAGTGAATTTCTGTACAGTTAGAATAGCCATTCTGAATCTGTGGAGCTTCACATTGCATTTTACACTTTCACTACCAAATATACTTTTCTTTCTTTTTTCTTTTTTTTCTTTTTTTTTTTTTTTTTTTTTTTCTTTTTTTTTTTTTTTTTTTTTTTGGTTTTTCGTGACAGGGTTTCTCTGTGTAGCTTTGGAGCCTATCCTGGCAACTGTGCTCTGGAGAACAGGCTGGCCTCGAACTCACAGAGATCGGCCTGCCTCTGCCTCCCGAGTGCTGAGATTAAAGGCATGCACCACCAACGCCTGGCCCAAATATACTTTTATGCATTTATCCACTACCAAAAAATCCACCAGGTGATGGTGAAGCACACCTTTAATCCCAGCACTTGGGAAGCAGAGGCAGGAAGATCTATGAGTTCAAAAGACTGCTTGGTCCACAGATCAAGTTGTGGGACAGCTTGGACTACACAGAGAGAAACATTAAAATGTGAGCCCGGCAGACAGAAGTCCTTTCCAGGTGATGTTTATAGAGAGTAAATAACTGTACAGCTGTCAGTACGATGTTGGATTCAAGCCTCGGTGGTGTTAACACAGGTGAGAGTCCTAGTCTAGAAGTGTCAGCATCACCTGCAGCCCCTGTGGTAGCTCGGGGGAGTTGTTCTGAAGTGGTTGGCCGAGGTGATAGGGAGGCTGTCTCAGGAATGGGGGCGAGTAGCTCTGCTGAGAGTGTAAGGGGTTTTCCTGGCTTTCTCTTGTGCTTCAGGAGCCTGTCTGCTAGGAGGATCTTTGATTTTTTTTTTTCTATCTCTTGCTTATGTGCTTGAAATTGTATAACTAATATGTTTCCATCTGCATTGTATTGAATTTGTAGATCTATGAATTGGGATCTGTGTTAGGTCATATAGGAAATCACTGGTTATTCAGTTGTGAGATGAAATGCAAGCATCTGTCATTTACATTTCATAGTAGCCTTGTGGTTAGAAGAAACTTAGCATGACTTAGGTGGAGTTCTGACTACATCAGCTCTGTTTCTTTTGAGCCTCATTTCATCCCAAAGGTGTGTGTGAATAGTTAGGCTTAGCCTTTCAAGCCTACATTCTTGTAACTATTTTTTTTTTAACTGTAAACTAACAAAACAGCATTTGGTTGAACTTAGTATACATGTATATATATATGTGTATGTGTGTGAAATTTTTTCTAGGTCCCAACAACTAAGGTTTCAGAGCTAAACCCTAATGCGAAAGTATGGGGGTTACATTTGGAAGCAAGTAGCGCCGCTGTTGGTGTGAATGCCTCGTGGGAGGAGGCCCCTGACCATCCTGTAGACTGTGACCAGCAGGGTGAGTAGGGAGCCTGGAGCAGCCTACTTTTAAGCCTTTGCCTTCCTTAAGATTTTAATCTGTCTTCTCCATTCACATTTGTGTCCTGGTTTGTGATAGTATTTAGAGCAGCAGCTCTCAACCTGTAGGTTGCCACCCCTTTTCACAGGGGTGGACCTAAGACCACCAGAAAAGAGATATTTACATTATGATTCATAACAGTAGCAAAATTACAGTTATGAGGTAGCAATGAAAATAATATTATGGTTGGGGGTCACCACAACACGAGGAACTGTATGAAAGGGCCCCAGGATTGGGAAGGTTGAGAGCCAATGACTTAGAGTCTTGGGAGCTTTTATAATCCATTTAAAAACTTTTGAGTAATCACCAATGTAAGCTTTATTTTAAGGGAAAGTTATTCTTCTAACATAGCATTTTGGGATACAATTGCAGTTATAGGATTGGATGCCAATGGCGATGGTGACAAAAGTCATGAGAATGCAGGACTGTCAGACTTACAAGAGGCGGACCAGACAGACATGAGCACTCTGGCTCTGGATCACTCAGAATATGAACCTCTGCCTGAAAGTAATGATACGGGTAAGCCTACTTTATGGATTTGTTTTCACTTACTTTGGTTTTTAAAATTTAGTTTCTTACTGTGTCTTTCAACAGTGTACTTTTCATTGCCTCCTTTTAATGTTCTTTGAAACTAATGGATTCAGAAATGAGACTCTGGAAGGGAATGTGTGCTAGAGATTATCAGTTAGCTTCTGAGACAAATGGCATCGAGTTATGAGGAGCACAAGGTTAATTGGCAGGGTGAAGTGTTGAGGTGGATGGACAGAGGTGGAGGGTTAGTGTTGGACTGAGGGTGAGACAGGTTGGATGGGCTGAGTGTTTCAGAGAGAATACAGTGGTGGATGGAGGCAATTGAAGCTTCACTGCAGAGTCTTAGAAGCCAGGTTTGAACTCTGTCCCCTTTGTCAGTACAGTGAGTGGCATGAAGAAAGTAAGAAACCTGAGGAAGTAAGCCTTTTGAATACATGTTTCCCCTTTTTATTTTCATTTCTTTTGTTGCAGTGTGCAATTGCCTCAGGTTTTGAAAGCAAGTCCTGTCTCCTCAGTCTACATTTTGCACACTGTCAGCATTTGGAAGTATAGGGAATCATCTTAGTGTGCAGGAAATGGAATTGTCAGACCCGAAGATGCCAGGTTCCTGCTGTGTGAGATATTGTGATCCACAGAAACCACATTTAGTTTAACACTCTCAGATATGACAAAATTAAGCATTGTCACTTAAGTGGGAAATGGTGTTTTATAAACACCAGGTCTGTTTTAACTATGGTAGAGCTTTAAATCTGTGGTCAACTAGTGCAGGGAAAGCTGGCCCCGCCCCTATTAGGAGAGCTGGCCCTCATACCCTTGGGAGAGCTCCCCCTACCCCTCACTTTGAGAGCTGGCTCCGCCCCTTGCCTGAGAGGAGTGGTCCAGCATCCAGCATGTAGCCACCCAGGTACGCATCCAGGGAACACTCCAACATCTATCCCATCTATGACGTGCTGGAGTATGTGAAGGGACTGGTCCTGTGGAACTATAGCTGTAGGATCTCCATGACTCCCAGCAACAGCAAGATAACTGAGAGGAATGTCAGTGGGGATGCGATATTGATGGTGTGCCAAGGCCAGAGGCCTTGAGCCTGACCAATGACTCATTTACACAATGAGCAAAGCAGTTTGGACAGAGGGGTGTACTATGTGCTACACAGCAACTCCCAATGCTACTAGGATGAAGAGGTGAGAAAGACTGAGGAGTGAATGTTTTTCTTTATTATTTTCATGCTTTTTTGGGTTTTCTTTGGGGGGGGGCACTGCAGGTGGGAGGGATACAGAGGGACAGGGAAATGAGTGGGATTGGGGTGCATGATATAAAGTTCCCATACAATTAAAACATAATAACAAAATAAAAAAAAATTTAAATGTGGAAAAAAATCTGTGGTCAAATGACTATGGTAAGAGGAAAAAGAATCAAACCACATTGTTTTCTGGTAAATATGAATTAGCCATCTTAAATTTAAGTGATTTAAACCTCCATATAAGCAAGGGTTTCACCAGCATGTAGCAATTTGATTTGATCAGCTTCTCCTCTAGTTAACCCACCACTAACTGGTTAATGACTCAGAAGTGACAAAATATTGGGATAAACTGGAGTGATGGTGAGGTTCGCTTTTTTTTTATTGCAAAACAAGGGAATGCTGGACATTTAAAGTGCATTTTAGAAAAGACAATAACAGGTGGGGATCCTAATAGTAAAATCAAAAGGATCAAAAATAATTTAAAGTTTAGACTGTATCTAAATCTCAAACTGGGAACAAAAATTATGCAAAAGATACAAAATAGGCTAGGTGTTGGTGGCATACGCCTTTAGTCCCAGCACTTGGGAAGCAGAAGCAGCTGGATCTCTGTGAGTTCGAGACCATCCTGGTCTACAGAGTGAGTTCCAGGACAGACTCCAAAACAATACAGGGAAACCCTGTCTTGAAAAACCAAATAAAAAAGAAAAAGAAAAAAGATACAAAATAGGTAGTATCAAAAAATAAAATAACATGTTTAAAATATGCCCGGAAAGTCTAAATTCAAAAGAAGTTACAAAATTGGTATTTAAAGCTATTTTTTTGGAAGAAAAAAAATTTTTTTTTGGGAAGCCAGGATTTGTGCCAATGTGAAATGCTTATAGGTAATAGGAAAGTGATTCCTTGTCTGCAGTTTTGTTTCTGGTGTAATCTACAAAACCCAGTCAGTCTGTAAAATGGATTCAACCTCCAGCACTGTGCAGTGAAACCAAATGAAGGGAAGAGTTAGAAGAGAGGAACTGTGAAGCCACTCTCCACTGCAGTGGGTCAGCATTTTCCAGGAGCCCAGGCAGCCACTAGCTATAGCAGGGCTAGCAGGGCTCACTGTGATTAAACTTGAGTTTCTATAATGACTAATGGTCTCAAGCATCTTTAGTCTTTTAAGATGTTATTCTTAGCCTGGCAGAGGTGACACATGCCTTTAATCCCAGCAGAGGCAGACAGATTTCTGATTTCGGGGCCAGCCTGATCTACAAAGTGAGTCCCAGGACAGCCAGGGCTGTTACACAGAGAAACCATATCTTGAAAAACCAGAAAAAAAAAAGTTATTTATTATTCTTTTGACAGTTTAATCATGTATATGCTGAAGTTTGGGTCATTTCCTTCATTACCTCCCCGCACCCGGAAACTCTTCTTCCCAGCCAATCCTCTGACAGTCACTTCCTGAACATGAGTTGAGGCCTGTCACTGGGACATTGGTAGCTTATTAGTGCCTGTATCATTGAAGCAAGTAGCCCCTTTCCCAGCACCTATTAACAGTGGGGTAGCTTCGTGAGTTTCCCTCCCCCACCAGTAGTGAATGAAATGGTAACAGCTGCAGTGAGGTCAGTATAGTGCCATGTCATGTGCAGAAGACGCTGACAGCACTCTACTCCAGCCTCCGACAATCATATTCTTACCCTCCATTGTCTCCTAGATTCCCTGAGCCTTGGAAGAAGTGATATAGATGTCCCATTTAGGGACAGGGACTCCACAGTTACTTACTTGCCACACGTTAATCTGTTTTCAAGGAAGACATTACTTTTTTTTAAAGAGTGGTTTTCATTTCACAGCAAAGTGGAACAGAAAATCCAGTACAGTTTCCATATGTGCTTGTCTGTACACTGTGTAGCCTCCCCCACTGTCAATAACACTCCGCAGAGTGCTGTTTTACAGCTGATGAGCCTGTGTGGAAACACCATTATCATCCAAAGCCTGTGGTTTATAGTTTATATATTAGGTGAACTTCTTGGTATCACATGTTTCAAGTTTCAAGCATGTAACATTTGTTGTCAGTGTGTAACATTGTAGATAGTCCCACTGCCAAATCGATCAGCTGTGTTGTCTATCTTCCCCCCACCCTGGGCAATCACTGTCTTTGTTTTTGTTTTGTTTTGTTTTGTTTTTGTAACCTTTTCAGGGTACCAAAGAGGAATCATTCATTGGGTAGCCTTTTCAGCTTGACCTCTTCTGATTAGTAATATGTATTGTTGGTCCTTCCATGTCCTCACATGGGCTTACTGCTATTTTAGCCTGAATTATTCTAGCAAAGCACAGTTTATCCAGTCATTTGTTGAAAGATGGTAATTAATAAGGTGATGATGCATATTAGTATGTATTGTTTTGTGTAGATACAAGATTTTGAATCCTTTGATTAAACATTAAGAAGGAGTATGATTACTGTATTACATGGTAAAGTATGTTTAGTGTGTACGAAGCCATCAGCTGTCTCCATGTTGCTCGTGCTATTTTAGCGTCATGTTTTGATGCTTTGTTGTTAGGCATGTATATATTAGGCTTTGTTATTCTTCATGGAGATTTAGCCCTCTATCATTAAAGCAGCTTTCCTGCTTTAAAGTCTGTTCTTCTGAAACAAATACAGGTGTCCATGTTTTCCTTTGATTAATGTTAACATGCCATGTGTTTTTGTATCCACCTCTTATTTTAAGGTAAGGTATTGTCATGCTCTCCTGGAACTCATACATAGTCTTACTGACTTCATCTCTCAAGTGCTAGGATTTCAAAAGTGTGCCACCATGCCCAACTTTTCCTATTGGTTTCTTTCTTTTCTTTTTTTTTCCTGAATGATGAAACATACAGCATGAAATTTACCATCTTAACTCTGTGTGTGTTCTCTGCATGCATCACATATACTCTTAACCTGAGTCATCACTCCAGCCACCTTCACACCGTTTCATTCTTTGTGCACATGGATACTGAGTTTCCCAGCACTGTGAAGAGACTGCCTTTTTCCTTTCACCAGCCTAAGCATCCTTGTTAAAGGTCATTTGACCACCCACATGAGGATTGATTTCTAGGCCTTTCATCTATTTTTGTGTATTGCTCTGTCATTATGCCAATATTACCTTGACAGAATTGCAGAGACAGAAGAAAGACTGGCATTTCAACAACTTTTGCTTGGAAGAGTAGCATAGCCATATGCCATAAACAAAAACAACCTTATTCATGTTTGATAACATACATAAAAAATTCATTTCAAGTGATCATATATTAAAAACCATAAAACCTTAAGCAATAAAACTAATAAAAGAAAACATGCTTGATCTTATATTAAGATTTCTTGTGTACAACCTCTAGAGGAAGACCAGTAAGAGAAAAACTTAGTAAATCCAACTTTATAAACATTTTAATTTGTCATTTCAAACAGAGGTAATAATCACATGGTAAATAAAACTCAAGTGAAACTACCCAGTAAGAACCTGAGCAAATAGACAAGGCAGCACTGAGGATGTCTGTGTACATGAGGGTGTTGGAGCTTACAGTTCCACACCCTAGGGCTCCAAAACTAACTTCTGAAATGTTCTCAGCTCCAGGAAGAAGAGCAAGTTCACAGGATAACTACAGAAGTCAACAGAGAGGTGAATAGAAACATAGCACAGAGCAAATAGCTCTGTCTTTAGGAGCCAGAGCCACAGTAGGAAACCTGAACTGTAGTTGGTAAATTCTAGAGGCTCAGGCTAGACAGGACAAGAGTTTGAAAATCCTGGAAGCCCAGTCATAGGGTGGGCACTGTTACTGTGAATTTTACCTAGAGCTTCCACAGGACTCATGGTGACTATTGGAGACAGTTCTTGTGCTTCTGGCAAAAGGAAGTGGGAAATACCCATTGTCAAGTATGTAAGAGCTCAGTGTCCACCTTGGACAGCAGTTGTCCTCAGAAGCAACCACACCTCACACCTAACCTTTTCTCTTCCCATCTTGTGTGATGTATTTACCACAAATCTAAATGAATAGTGGCACATTCTTCCCAATGTCTTTTTTTCCTGTGCAGGATCTTGCCTTGAACACCACATTACGTTTAGTTATTATGTTACTTTGGGCTACTCACTCTTAACAGTTCTTAGTCTTCCTTTGTTTTTTGTAATCTTAAAAAACAGTTTTGAGGAGGAGCAGCCATGGATTCTGTGATATAGCCTCCTATTTGACAGCCTTCTGATTTATTTCCCATCACCATGTTTATAGTATGATGTAGAGAAAAGTCCATAAAGAGAAAGTGCATTTTCATCATGTGATGAGTACACACTTGGCAACAGTCAAAGAAGCTTAACATTGTGGTTGTTGACTTTGATCACTTGCTGAAGTCACATTGATTTCTTAACAGTTCTGTAGTTAGGGTTGAGGAGTGGCTTATACATGCCTTGGAAACCATTATTTCATCTATTCTATTTATCTTTATGTTATTTTTAAAAAGAAAATTTCGGGCTGGAGAGATGGCTCAGCAGTTAAGAGCACTGACTGCTCTTCTAGAGGTTCTGAGTTCAATCCCCAGCAACCACATGGTGGCTCACAACCCCTTTGAGTGAGATCTGGTGCCCTCTGCTGGCATGCAGGTAGAAGACTGCATATATAATAAATAAATAAAATCTTAAAAAAAGAAAGAAAGAAAGAAAGAAAGAAAGAAAGAAAGAAAGAAAGAAAGAAAGAAAATGGCCTCAGTCTTGTAGCTACATCTTGCTGGTGGTAAGTCATCCGGAGTCTCACTGATGTCGCTCAGTCCCGCCTGTCCTCATGTGAGCACTCCCCTGCCTATTGCTTGATTGCTGAATGTCCTGCACTACTAGATCAGTTTCCGTCATACTTACACAGTATCTTCTTTTATCCTTCAGTATACCTATGTCCTTCCATCTAAGTCTTTCAGAACAGTGTTCTGTGCTAACTGTCCCAATGTCCCAGCCTCCTGATCAGTCCCCCTGAATCTGTTCAAGGCTCATAGTTGTCCTTACAGTTCGATAATTTGCATTTATCCAGCTCTTTTAAAGCCTTATTCAGGACAGGTCTGTTTTTGTGTTTTGGTTTTTTCCCTCATGATTGAACCTTAGGCCTCTAACATCTTGGCAGCACTCTAACTACGCATGAGTTATATTTCACCCTGGTTTTTTGAATGTCTATTTTTTTGTCTGTGTGTGAAAGAATGTGTATGAGTATGTGTGTGTGCCTGTCTTGTACATGTATATACATATGACTAGAAGCCAAGCACCAGTGTAGTTCCTCAGGGAAGCATACCAGGACTCTCAATGGGATCTGGAGCTCACTGATTAGGCTGGAGTAAGTAGTTAACTAGCAAGCTCCAAGGATCTGCCTGTCTCTACCCCACCCCTACTCCCAGCCACTGTTCAGTTTACAAATGTGTACCATCACACTCAGCTTAGTTATATGGGTGTGAGAGATTGAACTCAAGTCCTTCTCTCCTGTGTCTGCAGAACAAGCACAAACCAACTAAACTATCTCCCCAGTCCTCCTACTTCACATTTCCATGGTAGTTGTTATTGGCCACCAGATGCACCTCTGCAGCCACTGGCTTTCCTATTGCTTCATAGTGGAAGGTTGAAGTGCCCCCTGGGCTAAGTGGCAGGGCTTTTGTCTTCCTTACTGGACTTCAGCACATAATGGTTTGAGTCCTGAGTGGTGGTCTGCCCTCAGTGATTGTGTTAGCCTCTTAATTATATTGCTGTGACTGTCTGTGCCATGGTGATCTTTCCAAAATGTCACCCCCAAATTGGTTCCCAGTCACATTCAAATTAAATTTCAAATAGCCTCCTTGATCTGACTCATACATTATTTGCCTTTTTTTTTTTTTTTTCCTGAGTTCCACCACTCCTCAGTTTTAGCAGCCTCTTTAGTGTCTGTTGACTCTGCCTCTCAGGGCCTCTGCCTAGAACTTCATTTCCTCTTTCCTCCATTGGTTCAGATGGCACCTTCCATGTGGGGCAACACCATGCTGCTCTGGCCCCTTGCCCAGGCTATTTTCCTCTGGGTCACTTCAGTCTCATTATGCTGGCAGTGGCTCCTTTAGCTGTCCATTGTCTGCCTCTCTCAATAGAATGCTGGCCTCTTGAGAGCAGGGGCCTTATTTCATTTAGACTGAATTTGCAGTTCCTGTAATAAGTAAATACCTCTTCAATATGGGGAATGGAATGTGAGTTTAAATGAGATAACTAGGGCAAGTCTCCAGATCAGGGGTTGACAGGTCATGTTTTCACTTTCAAGATTAGTTTCTTTTTGGTAGTGAAGATGGATTTTATGAAAGTTTAGTACATATAACACTGTTGTGAACTGTCTATTCTAAATTCTCCTTCTTTGTCATTGCTTTTTCATGGTCTTTAACCTTGACTTTTAGAATACAAGTGTCTTTTGTGTTTGCTTGGCTGACTTATGTAGGAACACTCTTTAGTACTCCAATCCTTTCATCTCTGTGATATTAAAGACTAGTTCATTAGGTGTCCTGAGTGCTAAGGGTGCTAAGCCTTCAGCCCAGACTTGACTTGACTCTGCCAGAGGCCACTTCATCTCCTGCTGATGTCTGTGACCCCATACACACAAACAACCTACACTGCCACCAAATATCTTTACTAAGCTGTTTCCTTTGTATATAGAAAGAGCTTTTGAGTCTGAGAATCTGATTTAATGTCCTCTCATGAGGACTCTTTAATAAGATGGTTTCTAACTTGTCCCTTTAGCTGGAAATTGAAAGGGAAATTTAAAGTTCTCCCATAGAATTTCATCTAAACGGCCTGCGTGTCAATATCTCTAGTCTTTGCTTTTCTTTGTTTCCATCTGTTTTTGCTTGTTTTTTTTTGCCTTTCTTCATTCTGAATCTTTCCTTTAGATTGTACTGTTATTTAGAGTCAGTCAGTGTTCTTGTCTGTTACCTGAAAAATCCTTTGTGAACTGCTAAACTTCGTTAATGAAATTTAGTCATTGTTTTCTCAACTTTTTGTTTTGTTTTGCATGTTTACTTTTTTTCTAGCAGGTAAAATAGCACTTTTCATATTATTGTGCATATATGCAGACAAAAACACTGGAGTGCTGTACTAAATTACTTGTTTGGTAAATTTTAAGCTATTTTTTTTCTGAGTTGTTCATTACTTCTATATAGGAGGAAATGAGTCTCAACCAGAAAGCCAGGAAGACCCTCGGGAAGTACTTAAAAAAACGTTGGAATTCTGCTTATCTAGGTAAGGCTGTTAGTAATTTTTCTAATGCCTAGTATCTCTTGTATTGTACATAGTTTCTTGGCTACAAATGTGAGTTTTCATGGTAGTATGTTTATAAATGACTATTCCTCAGAAGTGCTGTAGAGAACTTAGGCCAGTAATCCCCAAGAGTTTGCCTCAGATCCATTTTGGTGATTGTCTGGACTTCTGTTTCACTGTGGATTCCTACATATGCACAATATGTCATAAATCAGTCTGCCATTAGGCCTTCAGATAAATAGCCGAAACACTACTTTAGTGGGCTGTTTTATTTATAAAGTACTCACATTTAGGTACATGGCCTTTTTTCTTTTAAATGACATTTTGTTGTTGTTGAAAACTGTAGTCCAACTTTTAAGTTAGTGATCAACCTTTAAGTTAGCATACATGTGGATGTGGTTGAGTATGAAGTAAGTGGCCACAAATGAAGTCCCTCGTAGTTCTGAGGACACCACCCCATCTCACGAAGGTCCCAAAATGACAAGAGAGCATGTTTAAGAAGATGGAACAATGCCTGGGCCTCCGTTCTCCTACCTCTCATCACAACTTAGCACAATTCTGAGTTTTAGCAAATGGTAATGGTGTAAAAATGAAAGATCTTGTGTCAAAGCCCTGTTCTCTGCCATTCATTCACAAACCCTGGTGTTGGTGTAGCTCTCCCATAGCTATAAGTGTTGCCATGTGAGATAAGGGATAAGCAGTTTCCTCTCAAGTGAGTTAGTCTCTTTGACTGAACTCTTGACTGTTTGTCCTTCACTGAGAGACACAGTATGTAAAAAAGGGCCTGTGAATCCCATTACTGAATTTTAGTTAGTTTTGTGGTGTTTTGAGACTTTGTGTATTATTTTACACACAGACTTTTTTGAGAATTTAAGGAAACATTATCTTTGGCCCAAATGCCAGGAAGTAGTGCATCTTGTCCTGAGTGCTGATGGTGTGATGTACCTTCTGCCCTGGTGACGATGCTGATCCTGTTTCCTTCTTGTTGGCTTTGGCTGCCTAGATACCAGAGCCAATCTGCAGTTCCTCTAACGCGTGTCCAGATTTTATGGGATGCTGACTTTCTCCTGGCCTTTTATATTTCTTGTAGCTTTTTTATTCAGTTAGCTGGATTTCCTTATTGAAAAAAAAAGTTCATTTTTAATTACTCAAATACTGTCCAGAACAAAGATGAGCTATAATTGCATCTTTTTGTTGTTGTTGTTTCTCTGTAGCTCTGACTGCACTGGAATTTGCTCTGCAGACCAGGCTGGCCTCCAACTAAGAGAGATTCATCCACACCCGCTTCCTGAGTGCTGGGATTAAAGGCATATACACCATGCCTGGTTATAACTGCTTTTTTCTTTGTTTTGTTTTTCAAGACAGGGATTCTTTGTAGCTTTGGAGCCTGTCCTGGAACTCTCTCTGTAGATCAGTCTGGCCTCAACCTCACAAAGATCTGCCTGTCTCTGCCTCCCAAGTTCAGGGATTGAAGGCATGTACCTCCACCATCTGGCATTTTAAAAGAATCCACTGGCTAATTTTGATTGCATTAAGTGAGCAAATATCAGATTGAGTTTTAGACTCAACTCTCGAGCTGTCCCACACAACATTCATGCCTGTGGTAAAACTTCTTGTAAAGAAATATCAGTTAGAAAGAATTTGTTTTCTTTCAACAGGGAGAATCTTGCTAGCGACATGTATCTTATATCCCAGATGGATAGTGATCAGTATGTGCCAATTACAACGGTAGCTAACCTTGACCATATCAAGAAACTCAGTACTGATGTGGATTTGATTGTTGAAGTGCTAAGATGTAAGTAGATTTAAGGTGAAAAGATTGTCTTCACATTATTTGTCTTATGAACTGCCTTTTCACTAGAAGACTTAGGGGTAAATTAAATACTTATGGCCTCCTTTGTTTTCTGACCAGCTCTCTATAATAGGAGCACTGACTGAACCAATGATTGAAGCTTCAACTAAATTATGGGCTAATTTAAAGAGAAGAGGAAACTTTTCATTAGAGATTTTATTTTAAAGACAGCTGCTGAATTAGTGAAAGCCAAAATAAATAATGACTTATGAAGTAAAATATATTTGTTTAGCTACTAAAGGGGCTTCTTTCCAACTAGTTGCTTAAGTTTTGTTGAAATCTTGTGATTATTTTCCTTAGCTATTGTAAGTGAAGCTGTTTCTTGTAAATTTGACACATAACGTTAATAATTAAATACTCCATAGAAAGCCCACAGGCACTTCAGAAATACAAGTCTCTAAAGTGTTATTTTTTGTGTCAAAATTGTTTTTTATTTGTATCCTACTTGACATAATTAAGCACCTTTTCTAGTTTGTTTATTTTCTTAAAAGAGAGAAAATTACCTTACCATAGATGTGATTGGCATAAAGTGCTATGTGTCAAGGTTATAGCCAGTTAGTTTTGACACATGGTTACATGCGTGAAACATCACAACAATAAGGCTAAGGATAGTTACTGCTCCACCCAACGCTTTGCTGGCCTTGTGATGCTTTCCACACTATGATGTGTCAATTTCCTTTTAAATCAGACTTTTTCATTATAAAAATTCATTTTCTGTACTTAAGCTACAATTTTTTTTCCTGTTCCCTTCCTTGGAACTGATGCATATGTGGTACAGCTGTAGTGGATTCTTCACAGAGAATGTGGTACACAGGGTGCCACATAGACTAGCACATCCATATTGCTTGCGAACGTTTGGATGATTAGACATTGCTATGTCTGAAAGTCTTATTTCTCTCACCAAGCAACTTTTTTTTTTTTTTTTTTTGTCAATGTGTGTCTTATGTTGTCCTGTCCCTATGCATTGATGAGACAGTCATTTCAAAATTTTTCTTGTGTGCATTGGACTTAACAGTAATATTAAAATATTGATATCTTCCTTAATTGAATTTAAAAGACATTTTTAAAAAATATATCATGGGGGTGGGACATATATGTGCCACATGGAGGTCAGGACAACATTTGGAATTGATTTTCAATGAGTTTGAGCACCTTAAGTAATAGCCGTTTTGCCAGCCTTTTTAGTTGGATTTTCTAGTCACAAATAAAAATTTTCATTTTTCTATCTTTGTACAAAAAGCTAAAGACCTGGTGAGCATAATTTTCGGTAGGAACTTGAAGTATTATATGAATTTCCCAAGGCAATAATTTACTTTTCAGTATTCCCATTTAGAATACAGACTTGGGGAGTATAGCTGGTTTTGATTCCATCTGATCTAGTTTAAAAGACCAGCAATTTGGTTGTCTATACTCTACTACAGTAAGTCTGTTGGATTATTCTTAGGTATCATACCCCAATGCCACTGACCAAAACTGTCAAATTTTACTGTAAGAAGGAGAAAACCATTAATCCTATGTCTAGTGCTTTTAGTATCTGTTTGATCTATTTGCTCTACAGCCACCACCTCATTGTGTGTATATTTGGTAGCTCTTGCAGGACCTTTTAGAGTTACATGTTCCTTCATTTTGAAAATTCAACATACAAGATGGGTTTGGTAGTTTATGTTGGTTTTGAACATGTCAGTAGTTTGCCACGTGTACAAATTTCTCTGGTGTGTTTGGTAATGAGTGCCCACATTCTGTTGGAGCATCATGTAATGTATGCTTGGTGATAGTCCACATCCCATTGGACTATCATATAACGTGTATTTTACCATTTGTTTGCTTTTTCTCTTCACAGCTTTACCTTTAGTCCAAGTGGACGAGAAAGGAGAGAAAGTAAGGCCAAATCAAAACCGGTGCATAGTAATACTGCGTGAAATATCTGAATCTACCCCTGTGGAAGTAAGTCATTCCTCTACTTGTGGTACTTGACATTTTCCTGAGGGTTTTTTGTTTGTTTGTTTGTTTTGTTTTTGTGGCATCTGTAAGGATTCAGGCATTATGGTTGCCTGCTCCTGTCACCTGGCAGAATGCACTCAGCAGTATCCCTTTAAAAGAAAGACTTATGCTCTCTTTTGCTCTCTCCCACTCTTCTTTCCCCTAGGGGCAGACAGGACTTTTCCTGTTCCACTCTTCTCTTCTGTCCTCTGTCTCTGTGTCTCTTTACCTCTTCTCATTGCTTCCCCCCTCCCTTCTCTTTCTAATATGACTTCTTAAGCTCTGTCTGCCTGGCATTTTTGTCCCTCCTCCTGGGTCACCCTCCCCTGCCATGGAATCCACCAAGTTTCCCGCTTTATCATAAAAGTATCTATTTATATATGTATTCCATATGTTTTTGATAGGGCCATTTGAGAATAAATACTCACAGGAACAACTTTTTCCAGGATGTACACAATAATAATTATAGTGTGAAGAATGACTTGTCATGTCTTTTGGCTTCAGGATTCCTCCATATATTTAAATTTAAAAAGAGAATAGGGTCTGTATATTTCAGTAGTTAGAAATTACAAAGTGAAATGGGTTTAAATATGTATTAATTAAGAAATAAGAGTAATGGGTGGGGAGGGAATATGATATAGCAATATCATTTCACAATTTGTTTTGTTTGCTTCTGTTGTTCTTGTTTGTTTGGCCTTGGGGTTTGTTTTTTATCTCCTTAGGTATAACTTTTTTGGTTGGATGGCTGGTTTAGTTTTGGTGCTATAGAGGCAAGGTCTTACTTATTATGTAGTCCAGGCTGGCCTTTAACTCATAATCCTTCTGCCTCAGCCTCTTGAATGCTAGCATTATAGGTATGTGCCTCCATGACTGGCCCTAATATTTACTATTTTTAGTGCTGTCAGTCATGTCCAGCCAATAACCCTGCAGCTGCATGCAGCATGGGATAACTAGGAATGCAATCTAACACAAAATTGTAAACTTACTTAAAACAGGATGAGTTTTTGTGTATGTGTTTGTTTTGTAAACTTCATTGAAGTCACTTTGTTGCAATGTCTGAAGGTTGGACAATCCTGTCTCTAGCCTTAGTCAGGTTCTGTTTGTCATTTTGCCTGATTACTGTGAGATATCTTGTGGTATACACAGTGGTACTAAAAAATACTTTTTGTTTGTTTGTTTTTTCGAGATAGGGTTTCTCTGTGTAGCTTTGGAGCCTATCCTGGCACTTGCTCTGGAGACCAGGCTGGCCTTGAACTCACAGAGATCCTCCTGTCTCTGCCTCCCGAGTGCTGGGATTAAAGGTGTGCGCCACCAACGCCCGGCTAAAAAACACTTTTTCCATTTTAGTGTGTTTGGGAGAATCCTGATTTGGAGCTCATTAAAGGGTTTTTGTTTTTTGTTTTGTTTTGGCTTGGTAAAGTTTCTGGATTGGTAGAGTTTTTCTCTTCCTGTATTTTAAACACACTCCTTTCTTCTAATCTGCATTGTTTATGTTGGGGAAAAAAAAATGGTCAGTTTTTTCCTTTGTTTCTCTTTTGCTTTTCTGGCTCCTGGACTATTGTATCATTAGTTTAAAGCAGTTTGGTTAGAGGCTGTCCATGGCAGAGCTTTGACGTTTTATCATTCTGTGTCTCTATATATCATTCTCAAGCTTCCCCTTTCTGAGCATTTGAAATGGACATTCAGTAACTATTCTAGTGTCTTTGTCTGCTGACATTGTCACTTGTTTCACTTAAAGGTTAACCTGATTGATCTTCTCATTATAGCCCAGCCTTTTCTATTTATCTATGTGATTATTACTTCACTAGGTACTGAATAGTTTTGAATTCTAATAAATATTCTGAGGTGCAGTTAAGATCCTTGGTGTGCACATGTAGTCCCAGCTACTCAAGACTAAGACAGGAGGGTTATTTAAGCCCAGGAGTCCAAGGCTATTCTGAGCCAAATAGCAAGGTGCCCATTCTAAAACACAGGCAAGACATTTCTTTGTGCCAGTTTGGTTTCTGCACATTTGTGAGGTGGCTCAGAAGAACAGCCTTCATATAGGGCACACTCTTTACTTGCTCTCTGTTTACTATTCTGGCTGTCCGGTTTGTTTCTGGCCAGTGGCTAGAGAGAACCCTCCACAAAGCTCTGGAAACTTGCCCATCCTATGACCCGGAAACCCTAGGCTGAGCACTGTTGGCCCATTCAATTCTGATCATGTTCTTTCAGGAAAGGCTGTCCTAGCCTGCTGATGGCAGGTGTCCAAAAGCCTTATAGCATATGTTTTATCTTTCTGCTTTTTACTTGTATTACTTGGGACTGTAAATCTAGTTCAACTTGGCCAGAAACAAAAGTTCAGCTAATATTTGTGTTTTTCAAGCTATTTTTTTAAAATAAAATTGTGTATTTGTCAACCTACTGATAAAAAGTTTTTTTCCTCCCCCCTTCTCTCCCTCCCCTTCCCCTGTACTCCCCCTCCCTCTCTTCTATCCTCTTCTGTTAAGGATTCATGTACTCCAAATGGCTGTGAACTCTTTATGTAGCTGAGGATGACCCTGAACTTGACTGTTCTGCTTCCACCTTAGTGCTAGAATTACAAACATGTACCACAATGCTCACTTGATGTGCTATTGGAGATCAAACCCAGGCCTTTTTGTGTGCTAGGCAAGGCATGCTTCCAAGCCAGCTACATCCCCAGCCACTACTGTTCATAATTCCAGTTCCTTGTGAGTAGGGAAAGCTGTTGGTAGTCATTTCTTTTTCTGGCATGAGATCCTGTGGGTGCTCCCTGCAGTGTTTCTGAAAGAGGGGTTAGGTGTGCATCATAGCATGCAAGTGAGTTTTCCTCCTAATTTGATGTGGACAAAAAGTAGCATAAGTGGGGACTGATTTCTAATTTTTTGTTTCCTGTAGGAAGTAGAAGCACTATTTAAAGGAGATAATTTACCAAAATTTATAAACTGTGAATTTGCCTATAATGATAATTGGTTTATTACCTTTGAAACAGAAGCGGATGCACAGCAGGTAAGTGCATTCCTCCCCCAGCCTGTGATAGTTTGCCATCAGAGTGGAACAGCATTGAAGCTAAGGGCTAAGTGCAGAGAAAACTGACTTCTAGGAACCCATGGGTATATTTTTGTAGCACTACTGAAAGCATGTCACAGTGCTTCTTAAGTGTATTGTGAGTAAGCAGTCTCAGGAAATCAGATCTGGTCTCAAAAGAAGAGACAAATTTTGATTGCAAAGTGGGGAAATTTGAACCTACCCATGACCTAAGAGGGGCATCCATTGTGTGGCAGGATGCTTTCAAAGGTATTGAGAAGTTTTGTGCTCTTAGAGAGTTAGGGGAAACATACCAACAAGTATGAAGTGTTGAGTAGTATAATCAGAGGGTTAGAAGAAAAAATATAAAAACCTGAAAGGCTAAAGGGAAGAAGCACCATGCTGTGTGGCCTTGTGGCTTGCTGGGTGAATCTGTATAGGTGAGCATAAATGAAACTGGGGAGCCTCTGAATGAAGTGGGGGCTTGATTTATTCTTTATTAAATTTGTAGATGAACGTGGGGCTACATAGTAATAATGGCTCAAATATTTCAATCGTTTCCTTTCAAGCATTCCCTTTCCTATACTACACAATCCCAGATTGAAATTGGGATTAACATGAGGAAGACAGTTTTTGGTTTTTTTTGTTGTTTGTTTTGTTTTTTTTGTTGTTGTTGTTGTTTCTAGATCAGGAGTCTTACCTTGTATCTTGGGAATGTACATGTGGTACATTCATTAATACTATTAAAATTACATTTAAACATTTTACAATAATTTGGGGTGCAGGTACCATAATAAGGGCATTTTTAAGGATCTTTGTCTCAAAGAGGGTCAGGAATCAATCACTCTTTAGGATCCTGTCAGCTATAGTCAACCATACATGATTATTTGAGCTGTAGAGAAAGTTAACAAATTTGTATTTTGGATGATTTTATTCCTAGGCTTACAAATACCTTCGAGAAGAAGTCAGAACTTTTCAAGGAAAGCCAATTAAGGTAAGCAAGACTAATGCTTATAGCTTCTTTATTATCTGATCAGCATTCTTAAATGTTCTAATTGGAACTTAAATGTCTCCAAACAGGCTCGTATAAAAGCAAAGGCAATAGCGATAAACACATTTTTGCCAAAGAATGGATTTAGACCTCTGGACATGAACCTTTACACACAGCAGCGTTATGCTACATCATTTTACTTACCTCCAGTGTATAGTCCCCAGCAGCAATTCCCTCTATATGGCCTGATCACCCCGCAGACATGGTCAACAACACATAGTTATCTCGATCCACCCTTGGTAAGCCTCTTTCTTTCTTTTTTTTTAAACTTATGTAACAGAAATTCATATTTCAGATATTGTACTAGGCACTTTGAAAGTTTAAAATCCTGTTCTAATAAGAACCTACAGTTGCCAAACCTTGTGATTGTGGTATAAATTTTGAATTTAATTAGGCATTAAATTAAATACCTAGAGTCCTAGGTAATGCAAAATTTCAATGCTGTGATCCTTGCCTTCCTCCCTCCTGGCATTTCCTTTCTCTGAGACACAGTGCTATAAAGGCTAGAGTGTAACTGGTGTCCTGAACAGAGGGACATGACCATGACATGAGGAGTTCTGTCATAGAGGAAGAGGTATATCAGTAGATTCCTAACAGTCTAGGAAAGTAGGATGCATCCTGTCTGTCTCACAAAACCATTTTTGTTTTCACACCCACCTTAGGGTTAGATAACATGATTAATTTCTGGCCTTTGTTAAAAATCTTGTTTGGAATTCTTAAGTTTGTAATGAGTACAGCCATTTTTCTCCAGCTTCCCTCTACAGATGCTAGGAAACTTAGGTTTTGATTTGGAATCAATGATTTAGTGAAGCAGGACAAAAGAAAATCAACCTTGTATGGTAAATTCCTTGAAAGTGATGTCCAGGTTACAAAGGGAAGGTGAATTCATGTCAGATTTTGAAGTAATAAAAGGTAAAAGAGTACCCCTGGCAGGCAAGCAGTGAAGGTGTGGGAAAAGGGGAACTTGAGACAGTGGTTCAGACTTGAAAAATGTGGGTCCTGTTAGATACTCATCTATGAAGATAATATCTGTGACCAGAAGCTGTTACTCCAAAAATAGATAAAGATAGAAAGTAACATTAAACATAACAGCAAGGATTGATGAGCCACTGTGTTGTCTCTTAGGTTTTTATGTTTCATGGGAACTTATGAGAAGGATAAAAAAAAAAAAAAAAGGAAGCTCTGAGGATAGATTGTGTGTGCAAAAGCACCAAGGTTGCCACAGATCAACTTTAATTACTGAATAAAGCAGATGGCTGGGGTCAGGGGTGGTAAAGTTGCCCTTATGAGAGTCCTTAGACATACGGATTTTGGCCTGGATCTTGTAGGAAGTAATCTAGAACGTTTGAGTTAAGAAATGAGAGTACACCCCATTTTTTAAAGGTAGCTGCCTAGCTATGTGCAGGTTAGGCAGAGTTAGAAAGGAGTTCTCAATGAGGCCCATAACTCGCCTCCCCCCAGTTCTAGAACCACTGGGGAGGAGGGGAAAAAGGTGAAGGAAGGCAATGTGGATATGGTTGAGTACATTGTGTCGATGAATGAGAGAGTGCACAGTGAAACCCTTTATGTTGCACAGGTATACAGGCTGATAGAAGAAAGAAAAGATACACCTGTCACTTCTGAGTGAATTCTAATGGGAAAGAAATTTGCCTTTAAAAGTAGTATACTTTCTATGAACATAGGCCCTTGGCTGTGGCGTTCCCTTTCCCAGAAACATCAGAAGGGATCTGGAGAGAAACTCTGTCCATTAACCTCTTGCTGTTAGTGCTCTTCCCCACATGAAACTGCAGTGGGTAAGGTTACTCTGTCACCCTCTGTCATACTCCTGGTCTAGATGCCTCTCTTGGGATCCTAGGTCAGCCACTACCTGTTGATTTACATTGAGGTCCTCCCATCCAAGCCCTTCTCCGAGATATGTATTATGTGAAATTACAAATTTAAACTATCTTTTGGTCTTGCCAGTTTTGTTTTGTTTTATTTTTTGAGGCAGGGTTTCTTTGTATGGCCTTGGCTGTCTTGGCACTCACTCTGTAGACCAGGCTGGTCTTGAACTCAGAGATCCACCTGCCTCTGTTGGGATTAAAGGTGTGGGCAACCACTACCTGGCTGATTTTACTAGATTCAAAGTCTCCAAAACTTTGGTCTGAATTAAGTGGCTTTTCTAGTGTGTTGTATTTTTTCCCCATAATTTTTAAGTTAACCAGTGGGGTTTGGTGCATGTTTATTATACTGTGTATGCGTATTATACTATTATATTCTCATTAATCCCTCTTCTCCACTGCCCCCACCACTACCACCACTTTCTCCCCTCTGGCTGGTTCCCTTCCTTCCCTCAGATTGTCTCACCTGCTTTGTGTTGGCATGTTATATTTCCTTTTCCCTCTTAAAAATCCTTTCTCCTCTTGTGAGCTCCCTTCTAATGGTCTCTTTCCTGCACCCACCTATTACCCACCCCCAAATCTAGATTTCCAATATTAAAGAAAACATGGTTTTTATCTTTCTAAGTTTGGCTTGCTTCACTTAATAGGATAGTTCCATTTCCTGGCTATTATGAATAGAGCAACAATAAGCATGAATATGTAATATCCAAGAGTGATACAGTTGGGTCGTGTGGTACTTCTATTTTAAGTTTTTTGAGAGACCTCCAGACTGATTTCTATCTGTGTTCCCTGTAGTAGTTAATTACAGCTCCTCTTTCCTCCTGTCCTCACCAGCATTTGTCTCGTTCATATCTTGGTGGTAGCCCTTCTGACCAGGGTAAGAAAGAATCTCAGTTTTTGCATTTCCCTGGTGGCCAAGGCTGCTGGGTGTTTTTTAAGTATCTGTGACTCCTTTTAGAACTGAGTGTTCAGTTCATTAGCCCATTTATTAGCTGGATGATTTGGTGTTTAATTTTAGATTTCTTCAGATATTTGAGATATTAATCCCCTGTCTTTTGTTTAACTGGGAAAGATTTTTTGTTGTTGTTCAAATTAGGAATAAGCTTGCTTCAAATGTCAATCCCTCCCTTTTCCTTCCCCTCTTCCCCCATCCCCCACCAGCCCCGCACCCCATCCCCTCTCTGCTCCCAAGGGAGGGTAAGGCCCTCCATGGGGGATCTAACTGGGAAAGATTTTTAAGCACTGTAATTTTTATGGACTGTGGAGTTTGTCAAGGAATGGATCTTCCTTGACAAGTGTTAAATGTTTTCCTTTTGTCACTTTAATTTTTAGTTAAATGATGTGCTAGCTCTAATACCATTTTAAATTAGAGCTTCTGCTTTCCAGTTAGTGCTGAAGGGAACTGCTTGGTTATCCCACCCTTTTCCCTTTAGTGAAAATTCAAGGTAGGGACTGGTAGGCCCCAGTCAACTAAGTGGCTTGGAAGTAATGTCATTTATTTGGAGAATATTTGAAACCACATGGCCCAGAGGCAAGAAAGTTAGTGATCACAACCTTCCATCTTGTAATTATTATTATTTTGTGTCAATGGGCAACAGCAATGGAGTTGGTTCTCTCCTACCTTTACATGGGTTCCAGGGATTGAACTCTGGTCACTAGACTTGTGCAACAAGTACCTTTACCCCAAGCCACTTTTTTTTTTTTTTTTTCGTAAGAATGTAAGAATTGTTTTGACATGTAGAACAAGTTGACCTTGAACTCAGAGATCTCTAAGTGCTGGGATTAAAAGCATTCAACACAACTCCTAGAAACACTGATTTTTTTTTTTTGAAAAGTGTGTGTGTGTGTGTGTGTGTGTGTGTGTGTGTGTGTGTGTACGTACACATGCCCAGCTGCATACATGCCAGGACAGATCAGAAATGTGTGCAGGTCAGAGGATAGAGGATAACTCTCAGGGAGGATCCCCTCTGGCATCCAAAAGTTAAACACTGGTGAGGCCTATGCATTGGAGCCATTGAGCCCTCCACACTGAGTTTTACCTTATTTTTATATGTGTCAAGATTTTAAAAACCATTAAGTGGTTTTTAAACTTTTTAAAAAGTATATTTAGCTGATATTTTAAGGTCTTTATGGCCTGTTCTAATTTTCTTCTGAAGTTTATATTACTATATTTATATGTTCTTTATCACTTTAAATTACTTGGAAAAATTCAGTCTAAAAATAGGATGCTGCTTACAGTAGTCTGCATGAAAGTAAACCCTAAAGAGAGAGGGAGAAAGGGAGAGAGTGGTGGGGGAGAAGGAGGAGTGGAGGGAGAGAAGAAATCCCTGCCAAAGGCTGTGGGGTAACACATGTGTAGTTGGGAGCAATAAGTGCATGAGAATTCCTAAAACTGGGCACTTTGAATTTTGTTAAGGTTATTCAGAATAAAGGATCATCCACTTGTTGCCCGACTAAAGGTAGTTAGTTGTACTAGTAGTAGTAACTTAATTTAAGCATCATCAGGTAATGCCTATATTCAGGGCTCCCATGTGATTTGGGATAAGGTTGTATCCTCTTTGATTATTATAAGGATTAGCTAAGATGGTATGGAGAAAGTTCTTAGCACTAGCCATGGCTTGAATGCTCAGTAGACATTACCTTTAGTAATAATCTTGGAAGTTTTTCTTACCATGCAGTTATTTTTAAGCATAACATGGAATTCACACCTCTGTCAAGAGGAAGACATGATCTGATTTACCCAAGATACAATTGTAAATCCAATTGAAGTGTCTCATGTTTTTACATGCTTGTTTTTTGTTAATGAATCCAGGTAACTCCATTTCCAAGTACTGGATTTATAAATGGGTTTACATCTCCAACCTTCAAACCTGCAGCGTCTCCTCTGACATCACTCAGACAATATCCTCCTAGAAGCAGGCAAGTTCCAATGGTGTTTCCAATGCTCACTTGCTTCGTTTGAACTGTTCCAGATTATCTGTAATAAGAGATCTGTGTAACCACTAGTCATGTTCACCAGATGAAACTTCTGAAACGCTTTTGGGACAACTTTTACTGTGTGTTTATTAAGTAGGAAGCAGATCTTGACATACATATTTCACATTAGCATGCTCATACTATACTCCTTGATTGCTTTATAACTCAGCATATACAAACATCTCATTTGCAGGAACCCTAGTAAGTCTCATCTGCGCCATGCGATTCCTAGTACAGAGAGAGGGCCTGGACTGCTAGAGAGTCCTTCAATATTTAACTTCACTGCAGATCGATTAATTAATGGTGTCCGGAGCCCACAGACGAGGCAAGCAGGGCAAACTAGAACACGAATACAAAACCCTTCAGCTTATGCCAAGAGAGAGATTGGAACTGGGCGTGTGGAGCCAAGTAGTCTTGAATCCTCTCCTGGTTTAGGGAGAGGAAGGTAAGTCACTTGCATATTTTGTCAAGCAGATATTATGTACCTATCATGAACTACTAACATTTTACATTATAATGTAGATGTTTTATAATCATATCCTAATGCAATTCAGGAAAATCAAATAGAAGCTGTAAACATCAAAGGTTTCCCTTAATTCCTCAGGATAGTCAGTTTTACAGCAGAGACTTCAGTGTTTTTGTTTTTATTTTTCTTAAAAGCATGGCATTTTCTTTTGTAACACTACAGCTGGTATATAGGAGCTGTACAGTGCAGGCTCACCTTCACATTTATCCTTGGCTTTCTAGGTGGCTGCCCTTGATAGAGGTGGCCTCCAGGATGTGTCTCATAGGTTCCTTGCTCTCTTTACAGCCGGTAGTGAGGAAGGCTGAGCTGTAGAGTGCATGCCTGGGATAAACAAGGTCCTGGGTCAATGCCTAGTGCGCCACAAAGATAAAATATAGTGGGATTGAGCTGGCAGCAGAATATAGTTGGTAGCCAGACAAACCAGCATTTAAATTCCATTTCTTCTAAACTTATTTATAAACAAAAGCTGCTGTTGTGAAACCAAGTGCCTTTGGTCACATTATTTCCATCCTTGGGCAAGTAGTTCTTAGAGTCTTTGTGTTTCTTGTCTTTGCCTAGGGTTCTTTCCATACATTGTGAATGTAAACTGCTGTGGTTCCGTTTCCTTCTCTCTGGGACCTCTAATGCAGTTTCTTCTTTCATGCTTGATGCCTTCTGCTGTGTATACTTCCTCTAAAGTCTCAGAGTTTGTGCCCTTCCCAGTGTTGACTAGGCCAGTTGCTGTGTGATGAAGATGCCTGCCAGGATTTTCCTCTGACAAATGCTGAGCAAGAACCTCAGCCTATCTATCTCAGTTTCTTCTTTTAACCTACTTTGAAAAGTTTAAATGGGGTGGGTGGGGGAGGTCCTGAATTTTCAATACATAAATATACAGCATGATTAATGACTAATTGAAACTCAAAATACCGATTCCTCTTTCTTGGTACATACGGAACAAAGGCTACAGCAGATTTGGGTCTAGACCACCACCATAAAGTGGATGTCACAGCAAAGTGAACCACACAGGTTTTTATTTCAGTGTGCTGAGTGATTTGGGGTGCTAAAGATTGGGATGAGCGTACAGTGCCCAAGAATAAGACACTAGCATCTTTTTCTTTGTTTTACAAAGTATATGCTGCTATTTATTTTATTCAGAATTTGCATATTGGGAGCCAGACCCCTCACCCCCTGCTGCTGCCTAATCACCCAGTTATAGTCTCAGCCTTTTGTTGTCCATCCACACCACTGGTAAGACCTGGGTCAGCCATAGATCTATCTCAAGAAACCATCTTTTCACTGTCTGTATGAAACAGCTCCTCCGCCATTGAAGTGTCACAGTCAGAAAGCTCTTGAGGCTCATTGAAGCCCAAACTTCTGTAAATGTTGCTGTCTTGACCTCTTCCCATTGACCACAGGTGTTTTAGCAGTGCCTGAAGTGGCGGGCCCTTTCCAGAAGATGTTCAGTTGGCTTTGCCTTTCAGAAGGATCACTGTTGTCCATGAAATGTAGTTTCCTTTTGTTTGTGGGAGAAACAGGCTACATGTATACATTTATCAACTTTGGGTCTTGCTTCTTAAGTCCCATTTACCTTCCATTTTGGGGACAGTGTCTCATTGAAGTGGAGCTCACCAGTTAGACCTGGCTGGTTGCCTCCAGAGTTCCCCTTTCCCGGTGAGTACCCCAACACCAGGATTGTAAGCATGCACACTTGGCATTCTTATTTTTGAGAGTCTGTGACGTCTCTCTGTCCTCGTGTGTGTACAGACATACATGTTTGGATAATGCATGTGTTGAAGCCAGAGACAATGCCAGCCACCTTCTATTACCCTCCACCTTGTTTTTTTGAAACAGGGTCTCTCTGTGAACCTGGAGTTGACAATTTGGCAGACTTTGCTGGCCAATGAGCTCCAGGGATCTATATACCTGTTATTCCTTGTGCTTACTGGGGTTATAGATGCAGCCATTGCACCTAGCTTTTATGTGTCCTGGAGATCCAAACTCAGGCAGGTCCTCATGCTTTCGTGACAGGCAGTTTACAAACTGAGCATCTCCCTAGTCCCAGTGCCTGGCTTTTAAAAATGTGGGTTCCAGGCCTCAATGTCAAGTTTTCATGCTTGGGCAGCAAGCATTTTATGACTTACTATCTCCCCAGCCCCTATGAAGTATATTTCTTAAACAGTAAAACCTAAAAGTTGAAATTATTTTTTTGACCCATACTGCAGAATGCATATTGTGTTAGTTTTTGTGGACATGTTATTAATCTTGTGTATTTCCATCAGAGCTCTTGAATAGCCAGATGCATTGGTAACAAATAATAATCTGAAAAGGATCTTTTACTTTGAGTAACACATTTTAAATACTTTGTTAAACCATTCAGTAGTCATGTTGTAATAGACACCAGCTATATTAGTCACTGGTAGTGAGTCAGCCAGTCCATTAAAGCTTCAGTGGTAGGCATTGACTTCTCTGTGGCTGTTAAGTCCTAGACTGTGTCTTCTTTCAGTGGGAAAGTTTGCCTTAGGTAAATCACTCTCCTGAGTGATAGTTGCTGGGTCTTCCGGTTACCTCACTGCAGCCTCTGCCTCAGTGCCTGATATTTCACTTGTGCGTTGGTGTTAGAAGGTAACATCACTCCTGCATGTCAAGTGTCAACTTCTAGCAGCATCTACAACTTCCTTGACTCTCTTAACCCTCACAGGATTAAAAAGAGGGAACCTGCCATCCACTGGACTCAGTCTCTGGGAATATTGTGCCTGGTTTTGTCTTCTGTATGGGTCACTGGAATGTCCTCTCTACCAGCAGGAAGGTCACCTGGCTCTCTTGTCATTCATGTATTCATTGACTGATGGTGTGATGGGTGTTCAGCTTCTCTCTGCTCTGATATGTCTTCTCCACCAGCTTAATCATTTCTAGATTTTAAAGAGAAAAACATGACTCTTCTTTTCACTTAAACATTTATAAGCCATTTCAGTATTGTAAAAATGTTTGCTTGCTTGGGGTTGCCACTTGTAAAAGCTAGTAACTATGAAGGATAACAGCAGAAGAGGAGGGAAAGTATCTCTTTGATTTTAGTGCAGTTACAGAGTTTAATCTGAAGAATTTGGAAGCTGCAAATCCTGTTTTCAGTGATGACATAAGCATCTGTGAAGCTGTGGTAGGTTGTGAGACAGGCAGGTGCTAATATCTGTGGAACTGTGGTAGGTTGTGCGACAGGCCACAGGCACCGTGACTTAGTAGAGTGAACACTGGCCTGGGAGTCAAGAACAAAAGCTACACTAGCCATTTTTATAACAAATCAGTTATTGGAGACTGAGAACTCAAAGGGGGAGCATTGAGTAACAGAGTTAGTGACATCAGATATCAACTACAAACCTAAGAGTCATGTTTGGAGTTCTTAAAGGCTAGAATCTTGAGAGACGGGAGCCTGGACCACGGACGGAGCTCCTAGGTTCAACAGGCGCAGTGTAAATAGAGTGTAAGCTGAAGGGTAAATTCCTGTGTCCTTCCAGCCCTTGTTAATAAAAGCTTAACAAAGCCTCCTGTCACTGCAAAAGCAGTGTTTGCAGAATCCCAGCCACCTTAAAAAGTGAAATAAAAGGTAATGCTGAGACTCAGTAGTATCTTGATAACCAGATACTCTCTACCTCTTTAGTGACATAGTCACTGTCAGTCTCCCAGCAGTATTTGAACTTCCAAGAATTCACTGACACAGGTTTATGCCCTTACCAGAGAGACCAGGCTTTGTCTTAATGGAGACTCTCACTGTCTTCTCAACAAAGGAGTCATGGTTTCACTTAATCTGTGACCTAAGTAAGGACTTTCCGTACCTCACTTAGCTAACACACAGGAGTGTGCGCATGTCAAGCCATGAACATGTATAGCTTTCGGTCCTTTTTTCTGAACATGGACTGATGAAACCAGCATTAGGTGGTTTCATTAGCTCCTCTCTTTGGAGCATATGCCCTGTGTCCAGAGCACCTATTGAGGAGGGGGGCGGGGTGATCTAGTTCCTCCTTTCTGAAGGACCTGATCTTCCACAAAGGTCACATTTCCTCTTCCACTGCTTTTCCTTGAGGGTTTGTTTCCCATTAACTTTCTGCTGGTCTGAAGCACTAAGAAGTTGCTATAGAATCTTCAAGGCTCCAGTCATGCATCTGTGTGCCAAGATCAGTGTAGTGAAAACCCCAAATGCCAGGTGGTGATCTTAACTTTGTGTCAGTGGATCCTACCTTAGATCACAGAGCAGAAGCATCCTCATGTGGGGTCCAGAACATGTGAGCTCCCAGTATGCCAAGTGCAAACTGCATGGTGCTGGGACCTTTGCCTGTGTCTTTGATTTAACAAATCATACACTGTAAGACTGTGTTGTGTCTTCATTCTGCAGTTACTTTCCAAGAGATAGGCACTGATAGCATGTTCCAGGATGGCCTGTCACTACCTAGGATTGCTGCATCTGTAGGTTCCTAGTAGGCAGTTGAGGTGCTCTAAGGGCAGTCGTGCATTCTGTGGGCTACGCTGACAAGAAGACATTGTTGTCAGATGGTGTTGGTGCATGGGCACCTGTAGTGAAGCCAGCCCACTGTGGAGCCTATGTGGCGTCTTAAGGCAGCAACTTTAGCACAAATGCTCATAGTGCCTGTGCCATACCAGAACTTGTCACCTCTCTCATCCACATGCCCAGAGGCCTAATCATTATGGGACTGAGGGAGCTGTTCCAATAGGTTGAAGGTTGCTATTCATGTCCACCTTTATGGTATAATACCTCATCTGTGCTCGGGGCTTTAGCCCCTACTAGGTTAGCTCATCAGAAAGCCAGACTCTATTTCCTTCAGGAGTCAGTTTTCTACTAGAGACAGCCTGGCCCCACTCCAGAACCAAGAAGGTTTGTAGCCTAGAGGCTATCCAGAGACAGCCTTTAAAGCCTCCCCCAAACCTCTTATTCTAATAGGCAAAAACATTTCTTTATTTTCTACAAATAAAGAGATTAATAATGTCCAAATTCCTGGGGAGTCTGTTCAGTTGAAATGATAGAAGGGATAAAAAAAAATGAAATTCCAAGTTGAGATTCATGTGTGGATTGTTAGACCACATAAACCCACCCAGGATGCTGTAAATAACTGATTCTGTGGCTCACTGTAGTGCTGCAGGGCACAGACTCCCAGCCTTGCAAGCCTGGGTTTTAGGGAACCTCTCAGGGTTTAGAGGTTATTATGTGGCTTTTGCAGTAAGGGATAATCATAGCTTTTTGCTTATGCTTTATATCGCTCATCTATATAGTTAGATGTCAGATTTTGTATATATATCTTATTATTCCAGCTGAAGGGACATTTAAACATTCGAATCTTAAAAATATTAAGTTGCTAGTAAATAAGTTGTTATAATTATTTTTCTGTTTATCTGTCTAGATATCCAATTTAATGATTTATTTTCAACATTTGGACTTTATTGTTTATACCTTTGTTTAAGACAGTAAGACTGTCTTGTTATGTGATCTGTTGCAGGCTGCTCATAAGCTCGTCATCTTTCTGCCTCAGCCACCCCAATACTAGAACTGCAGGCATGTGCTACGATGCCTGGGTTTTGGTTGTCCTTTTAAATTGCCTTTTAGAATCAGTTTATTCATGAAAGATTAAGAATATTAAAGACTGAATTGATACGTACTGCTTTGCATACATGAGCAAACATAAGCTTGGCAAATTTTCCCAGTAAGGGGAAAAATAATGGTCCTTTTGCTTTCTACCCCTAGGAAAAATTCCTTTGGCTATCGGAAGAAACGAGAAGAGAAGTTTACAGTGAGTACATAAAGTGGTGTGTGTACGTGTATGCACTTGGATACATAAGAGTCAGAAGGAGACTTCAGGTGTCTCATCAATCTCCAGCTAAACAAAGATTTCCCGTATAGCCTGAATTTGTCACCTAGATAAAATTTATCTTTTAGCCTGCTTACATTTGAATTTTGTTAACATGGGGGCGGGCACGAATGCACATGCGTGGCACATATATGAAGGTCAGAGGACAACTTGAGGGAGTGGGTTTTTTTCTTTCTACCATGTGGGTCCCAGGGGATTAAACTTAGGTCCTCAGACCTGGCAGCAGGCATCTTTACCCACTCTTACTGGCCCACTGCTTGCATTTGATTGAGCTCTCTCTCTCTCTCTCTCTCTCTCTCTCTCTCTCTCTCTCTCTCTCTCTGCCTCATGTTTGACTGTAGGTTTCTGCACCTTCTACAATCAGCTGCTGGAGGAAACCTCTCTGATAGGACTGGATAAGGCACCAATCTATAAGTATAGTAAATAAAAATTAAGATTATTTTGTGTGTGTCCCGACTCTGCTCACATTTTATCCTATAGGCCTAAATTTCAAGTTAGGTGAACCCTAGAAATTACTCATGCAACATTTATAGACTTTTTCCAGAGAGATGTGAGAGCTGGAAGAATCTTTGTCTTGTTTTGTGCTACCCTTATCTCTACATACTTGTGTGACCTTCCGGGGTGTAATTGTGTTGCAGAGCAGTCAAACTCAGTCTCCAACACCACCAAAACCTCCATCACCGAGCTTCGAACTGGGGCTGTCCAACTTCCCCCCATTACCTGGAGCTGCAGGCAACTTGAAGGCAGAGGACTTATTTGAAAACAGGCTTTCTGGCTTGATCATAGGATCTTCAAAAGAAAGAGTAAGCTATGTGTTACAGCTGTAATCTCTTTTGATGTTTTCTAAGCACTGATTTTGTACAGGAGAAAATGAATTGAGAGAGGTTTGGGATTTGGGTGATTTGCATTGGTTACTTGGTGTTGGAACCAAGGGTCAAGCTGCCCTTCTCTTGCCGTCTGCTGAAGTTGCTGTGGAACCTGTGCTGCACTGGTTCTTAGATTAATTTTTGTTGATGTTTAAAGCTCTTTCATTTCACAAAACACAGAATGAGACACAAGAATCTGAATTACACCAGAAATAAGACAGCTCTTGATAGTCTACATAGTGTATGTCACAAGAAGCTTAGAGTCACTTTGTTGTAGTCTGGTGATTTCAGGCAGACTCTAGGCTTCCACGAGGTCTTACACTGCAGTAGTCATCACTGCCAATCTTAGCTGCACTACTCAAGTCCAAAGAAACTCCTTTCTAGAGCTCCTGCAATACAGTTAGCTAGTAGGTTAGAAGTGGTATTTATCCCCATGCCAGCACCAGTGTTTAAAGGCTATAGGACATGCAGAGAAATGACTTTCTGTCCAGCTGCTGAAGTATGGCTAAGTGCTGGGGTGGGGGTAGGCTTATAGAATAGTCCTGGTTCCAAGTATTCCTTATGCTGCAGCTGTCAACTGTGCCTGTACATCAGATCATACATCTGTTTTGGGGATGGGGCACCACTCCCCAGCCAGGTTTAGAGCCACAGTAGTGGCTGCAATAGTTAAGACAGATGACTTTGCTACATTGAGTGTCTTAAGACTAAGGCCAAGATAAAATTTTAGTCCTTTTTATGTTGAGAGGTGGTAATTGCTACTGTTTTTAGCCATGGAAACTATGCTTTCCAAGATTATATATTATCTAGTAAGAGTCACATGTTAGAATTGGGATGTCTTAGAAATTATAAGTCTTAACATCCACATTAATAATTTCCCACTGCTTTATAAACAGTGGACAATTATGTATTTCAATGGTTATGAAGTCTTGTTTTCAAGTTATGGTCTCCCTTGAGTGATAGGTGAAAGAATACTGGCAGGCCTCTCCAGCTTCACAGACAGTTGCTGCTTTGAATACACTTAAGTTTCTGTGCAAAGCCTTTCTTGAAGAAAGAATTACTGCTTTCTAAAAGACTGGACTGGTTGTGTGGCCAAGTTATACAGTCTGCACTGCTGCCAGGGATGATGTATCTGCAGGAACTATAGCGGACTTGGGACATTAAGCTGTATAACCCCCCTCCTTGCTTGACACTGGATTTGTGACTCTTTGCAAAGTACATATGTGTCTGTGTTTAAACAGAGTCTGGGTTGAACATATGTTGAATCTGAGCATGCTTTTACAATAGGCATTTGCTGTTTGTGTTACCCTGTATTTGAGCAAGCTAGGTTCAAGCAGTAAGAAACTCTGGTTCTCAAACCAGCAGAACCTGAAGCTCTGGCTAACCCTCACCCAACCCCCAGAGTGTAAATTGTGCCATTCTGAAGCTGCACTTCCAGCTACTTTATTTTACCTTTGAACTTTTACCTGCTTTGAAAAGAAAGGTAGTTAGGAAATTTTGTCTCATATATATAATTGGAGAATGAATTTATATATATGTGTATATATATATATATTCTAAAATCAAATACTGGGTTATTACAGACCATGAGTAAACTTGCATGAATTACAACTGACCTGAGCAAGTTGTTGATGGAGTAATTTCTCATTCACTCGGGTCTTAGTTTAGTAACCTGCCTGTTAAATTAGGTAAAACAGATTTGTACACCTGCTTCCACAGGTGGTTTGTGGATTCAGGTGAGAGCTCCTGTGAGTATCTTCCATCTGCCTTCAGGCACTCAAATTTATGTAGGTGTGGATATGTCAGTCTTTGTTTTGTGTTAGTGAGAAGAGTGAATCGTGGTATACTGTGTTGGTAATTCTGTCCCTGCTATGGGGAGCCCTGATATGTCAGATGAGTAAGGTGTATGTGGAAGCTGTTCACTTACGGAGACAAGATTCCAGGTAATTACAGTGCATTTGCTGAGAGCAAGAAGGCTGAGTGCTGTGCAGCAGATAACAAACTCCAAGTCCAATGGTTAGGTTTGTTAGAGGCTTCTTCTGTCTCTGTGCTAGGACTTGGCAGTTTGTTGGTAGGCTACTACTGGATCTGTTGGCTTGGAGGATGGTCACACATCTGACAACTCTTAAATTGCTACTTTAATGATTTTCAGAACCTCAGTACAGATGCAAGCACAAACACTGTTCCTGTAGTGGTCCCCAGAGAGCCTTCCGTGCCAGCGCCCTGTGCTGTGTCAACAGCATTTGAACGTTCCCCTTCCCCAGCCCATTTACCCGAGTAAGTATCAATGTTCTACCAGCCCTCTGCTGTGTACAAGTGGGGGGTGACCTGTAATGTTACATGTGATTCTTAAACCAGATGGCATTTTCACAGGGATCCCAAGGTGGCAGAAAAGCAGAGAGAAACCCACAGTGTGGACAGACTCCCTTCCACCCCTACTACAACTGCATGTAAATCAGTGCAGGTGAATGGAGCAGCAACAGTAAGTGCTTTGTCAGGCATTCTATGTATGTACTGCCTCAGCCTACTTTTAGTCATTCTAATATGACTGGTTTTCATTTGTGTATGCCTTCATTTCTCTGTACCACACTCAGATGGTAACAAGGTCCCAACTCTGTCCTATCTGGAATTTGATCATTTCTATATTTACTTACTATGTATATCGTATATATGAAAAAGAATTAAGCAGAATGACTAAAAAGAACAACATGGTGTCCTTTTGTCCTGTTTAAATCCCAGTGTTTCTGCCAGGTATGGTGGCTCAGGCCTTTAGTTCCAGTGCTTAGTAGACAGAACAGGACAATGACTGCAAGTGTGAGGCCCCGAGTTACATAGCAAGTTGCACCAGTCAGGGATACATAGTGAGGCAATAAGTCCTCAGGTCTAGTAGTTTCTGTCCCTGATGGTCTTATTTGGATTTTCATCTTCCTCAGCTTGGTGTAAGTAAAAATTGCATTAGATATGGTAGCAAGCACCTGTAATCCCAAGACTTGGGAGAAAGAGGCAGAAAGATAGAATTTCCACAAGTTCTGTGTTTCAGACCAGCCAAGACTACACAGTAAGACCCCCATCTTGGGCCTGGAGAGATGACTTAGAGGTCAAGAACACTGGCTGCTCTTTCAGAGGTCCTGAGTTCAATTCCCAGCAACTGGATGGTGGCTCACAACTATCTATAATGAGATCTGGTGCCCTCTTCTGGCCTGCAGGCAGAATACTATACTATACTAAAAATAAATAAATAAATAAATAAATAAATAAATCTTTAACCAAAAAAAAAAAAAAAAAAAAAAAAAAAAAAAAAAAAAAAAAGAAAGAAAAAAGACTCCATCTCAAACCCAGGAGTGGAAGCAGGAGGATCAGTGTTGAAGCCCAAGCCTGTACCACATAAGATACTATCTCAGTACATAAACAAATGAATGAACGAACAAACAAACGAATGAATGAATAAGGATTACAGGACCACTGTGTCACACCATCACAGCTCATCCCCTGTATAAGCAGAGCATTTACAGATGTCCTGTCTTGGGTCAAGGGAAGCAGGGTTTGTGCCTTTTTTCCTTTGAGCCTCTTAGGTTTCCATGTTTCTCAAGAATGCTTAAAGGCTTCATGCTGGGCAGAGTTGGGTCATCATTTCATCACTATGCCTTTATAGCTGTTAGCTATTTTAGAGGGGTAGCTCTATAGTATCTTGGGAGGAAAAGTGTACTGCAAGAAAAGGGAGTGGTTTGTTGTGTTTGAACCAAAAACATCTTTTAAGTTTTTCAAGACAGGGTTTCTCTGTGTAGCTTTGGAGCCTATCCTGGCACTCGCTCTGTAGACCAGGCTGGTCTCGAACTCACAGAGATCCACCTGCCTCTGCCTCCCGAGTGCTGAGATTAAAGGTGTGTGTCACCACTGCCTGGCAGTTTATATCTATATTTTTATAATCTTAAAAAGAAAACCAAACTCTTTTTCCAAAAAACATGATTAGCTTAGAAAAATGGATGTATATTTTCAAAGTATTTTCTTTTACCAGAAACTTAGCTTTATAGACTCTAAACAAACAAAAACCCAGAATCTAACATAAGTCAAAGAACTCTTCATTCTTCAGGCTCCTCCTCCAGGAACCAGCATTGTTATATTATTCCTATTTAGTAATCCTTCTTCCTTCTGATGTAATTTCAGCTCTGTGACATATTCCAGCACCATACTGACAAAGTCATCAAATCCTAGAAATGTACCAACAGTTTGTGTCTTATTTAGGGTTTCTATTGCTGTGAAGAGACACCATGACAATAGCAACTCTTATAAAGGAAACATTTAATTGGGTGTCTTCCAGTTATCCATTATCATCATGGTGGGACAGGGCAGCATCCAGGCAGACATGGTACTGGAGAAGGAGTTGAGAGGTAACAGGAAGTGAACTGATGTAGGTGAAGGTTGAGCATAGGACCTCAGAGCCTGTTCTCACAGTAACCCACTTCCTCCAACAAGGCCACATCTACAAATAGTGCCACTCCCCACGAGCATTTTGGAGCCAATTACATTCAAACTACCACACATTGCTTTATCATAGCAATCATTCTTGATCCTACACACTTGCCCACAGCTCTCATGGCAGGAGCTTTGATGGTGGTCACTTTAGCTGACATGGACATGCCAGAAGTTGCTATCGGATTTTGTGAGCTTTTTAAAAGTAAAAATACCCATGAAGATGGAATTTTACATACAATTAAAACTTTATCTCATCTAACTTCATCCCTGAAGGAAACTACCTTTCCTGTCATTTTGTACCCATAACCTCACACTTTGTGTTTCCAGGAATTGCGAAAGCCCAGTTATGCAGAGATTTGTCAGAGAACGAGTAGAGAGACTCCTTCCTCCCCATTGCAACCCCCAAAAGAACAAAAGCCAAACACTGTCGCCTGTGGGAAGGAGGAGAAGAAGCTTGCTGAACCTGTGGAGAGATACAGAGAACCCCCTGCCCTCAAGTCCACTCCTGGGGCCCCCAAAGATCAGAGGAGGCAGCCTGGACGCCGACCCTCACCTCCTGCTGCTGGGAAGCGTCTGAACAGGGAACAGAATACTCCTCCCAAGTCTCCTCAATGAAAGCCGGATGCCTGGGAGGGGTCTGGAAGAGCTGTATTCACCACAAACGAAGCTCTCCCACTCAGTACAGAATGAGCCGCTGGTTAGGAGCTTGCAGTGTCTGTGAGGCCCATGGGATGCCTGCAAGTTATTTTCCTTCTGTGAGTCGGATTTTCCCCCTCTTGAAAAAAAAAAAATCTATTTTTCAGGATTTAATTATATAATATAAACCTTATTTTAGGTTGGTGCTTAACTGGAGGTGATGCAGAAGTCTGTTTTTCAGGATAGAAAAATGTATTTATCCTAACAAATGGATATTTTTTATTAAGCCTCCATGTGGCTCTGAATGCAAGCTATATATGAGTTTTTCTAAATTAAGGGAACTATGCTACTTTTTTTTTTTTTTTTTTTTTTTAAACAACTGGTCTGCAAGTGCATATGGATAGGGTGTCCCCAACAGATGGATGAGGGCTGATGGCGCAAGCAGGGGCAGCCTTGGCCTCACAGAGCAAGGGACTGGCAATGTCAGGGCACTGACATACTGGCACAGGAGCTGTGTTTTCATCTAAACTGTTAGTTAACAGGAAATTCTAGCTTTAAAAAGATACATATGTATATACAGTTCTTTTTGACCTAGTGGGCAGAATGAACCTGCAAAGAGCATCCTAGAAAGACCTGATAACTTTGCATTTTGATATCCTGCGAGCAAGTAACCAGCTTCTCACTCCAGTTCCAAGTGGCTATTATGTAAAATAAATTTAAAGCACATTGTGAATAGAACCTAGATGAAATAGGAACTCTGTTGCCCACTGACATCATACCATGAAGTTGTACCATGATGTTTTGGTCCCTGTGAGCAGGCTACCTGGCTCCCAGCCTTGAGTTCCTGCTCTGTCTGTGTCCCCCATGCATCCTCGCTGGAGAGTCATGTCTTAACCAGCTCTGTGTGGATGTCTTCCTGTACCTCTGCATCGGCACATGGATTTAGAAGTACCTAGCCGTGAGAGAGTGGTGTTTGTGGTCCCCCTCTGGCTGGTGGAGGACAGAATCCTTGCTTTTTTTTGTTTTTACCTCCAAGACGAGGGTCTCATTGATTCTTTCTAAGAAGTGCTGCACTTCTGAAGAACAAGGGTGCAGTAAAGTTAGCAAGTTTATAATAAAGTTACAGATAAATTATTTTGTTTTAAAATGCCTAAAATTTTTCTTTAAGTATTCTGAGCAGCAGACTTTAAAAATATTTCCTGCTAAGTGTAACCATACAGCTTATTCCACAAAATGCTATTTAATGAAACTGAAGGTTGTTTTGGTTTTTGGTTTTTGGTTTTTTTTTTTTTTTTTTTTTTTTTTTTTTTTAGAAAAAAATGATTTCCATCCAATATTTAAAGACTTGAATTTTATTTAAACTTGAAAATGACTTTGCCTTAACTTTTGTAAAAGACAGCTTAGAGCTCACGGAGACCGGCCCCTGGGTTGGTGGGAGTGGATCGGTTACTCAGTCACCGTGCTGATCTCCTGGTGGTGGTTTGCTGAGTACGCTTACTGTTGTACAAGAGCTCCAGTGGTGTTTGTGATGTACCCTACAGATCTTCAACAGCTGGTCTTTTTTTCAGATTGTTGAAAACCCTGTAAATGCAAATAGTCGCTACTGTGTTAAATCTGTGCACTTGGGAGTGTGCTCTGCCTGTACAGTGTAAATAATCAGAACATATGAGAAAGGTACCCTACAGAGAAGAATCTGATAAAAATTATTGATATATTATAAATGTTACTGTTGAGCTGGATGTAGATAAACTAAATGTTGTGGTTTGAGTATTATTTTAATTTGTTAAGGTTTTTCTTTTCCCCCTTTTACTGGTGTGTTGAACTGATTTTGCCTCTTTGCTGCAAAAGGGAAATGGAAAGTCTTATTAAAAGCCTCTGGATGTTTTCATACTCTTAAAGTATGTAAGTACATGCTAATCATATCTGATGTTTAAGGGTTTTGAAGGAGAGTATAGAGAGCAGAGACTGGCAGGATCTTCCAATGAAAATAAAAAACAGAAATGTACTAATTAAAATCATACTTTGCTAAGCGAATTATCCTGCCAGAGGCAAAGATGCCTGATGCATGTGACCATTTCCTTCAGAGCACCTGTCATTCAGTTACATAGGAGTATACGCAGTGCTATTTCAAATGCCTGTGAAAGGAACATAGGATGAATTTCCTCGTAGATGTCAGATCATTGACAAAAAAAAAAGAAGAAACAACCAGCCTCTTGAACCCACACTAGCAGATACTGTCTATATGGAAAGGCAAGCCCGAGGCGTCAGGCCCTTCACATCATATCTTTTCTGGAAGAGGGGCCAGATTATGATCAGCATCCCTTATCTTCAAGGGTGCTTTCGCAGAGGATCTTTGTTTTTAATGAGAAGTCCTTTCCCCAAACCTGAGCATTGCAGCACGAAGCGTGTGTGGCAGAGCCAGCTGTAGGTGCTTGCTGTCTGCTGGCTGGAAGTGTAAGGCTCAGTGGCCACATGCAAGGGCAGGTGGCACGTGCGCAAGGTTGGGACACTGTAATCACCGCTTAGCCAGTGACAGCCTGGCACCAGGAACTAAAGCCTTGCTCAGATGTGATTTTTTTTAATAGCATACTTTTTCAGGAAGCAAAGGTGATATGCCAAATAGCTGTGTAATGTCAAAACAGAGAATTGCTGATTGCTGAGGTTTTCCACTCAGAAAACAATGGAGTTACCACAGTAGGAAGCTGTTGAGGATGCATGCAGACTCTTGCTATGTCACATACAGCAAGTGTGATATGTGGGTTTCATAATCTATTTTTTAAGTTTACTCATTCCTTTCAGTATCTCAAGGTATAGAATCAGAGATACCACAGTCACAAATGACATTTTTTAACTTGTAAAATTGTGTGATGATGCTTAATTATCATATGGAAATATGGAATAGGAATCTGGCCCCATTTCACCAGACATGAATTTCAAGTGATTCCTCTCTCAGTAGTCAGTGTCATGATGTCTCTGTGAATCCTTCCTGTCATTGCATCACTGGTTGCCACTGGTAGGTGGCAAAAAATAAAAAAAATAAAAAAAATAAAAAAAAATTTAAAAAAAAGGAAAAAAAAAGTCTTACATTGCTGTATTAGGGTTTCTGCAGTTGATATTAAAAAACTGGTCCAGTGTGTCACAGCAGGCGACTGATGGTGCATACCTGTCTTTGTTTCCCCTTCAGTGAGCTGTAGTTGTGGGTTTGTGTGCTTTGTAGCCTGTTATACGGAAAGCAACAGACAATCGAAGATTCCAGGAGCGCTAACAGCTGCGAGTCCCAGAACGGGGTGTAACGTGGAAGCTTGCCTGAGGGTTTCTGTTTCTGTTCTACTTTTCATTAAGTCTGGAATCAAGCTTACATGTAAACTATTGGTAATTTAAGTTTCCTTTTGTGTCATTCAGTGTAAAACTGTCTAATTTGAAAAATGTAGGTTATGAAAAATAAAAGATTTAGGCACTGTTCAGTTTTTCTTTTGATTCTTTTAAATTAAAATTTTCTTCAAAAAACACATCTTTTTTATGGTTTCACTCTATTCCCATCACGCTGCTTGGGGATGATAAGTAGGGGCCCAAATATAGTTTAGACTTTAAAGTTTTCCAGCCCCCTCATATAAGTTGGCCACCCACAGCATAAGACTGATGAAATATACAGCCTATTGGTTCAAGGAATAGAACCCAGTTCCTGTGGAAGAGCAAAAGTGCTTGTAACCACCGAGCCCTCCCTCTAGCCCCCATAGTATATCTTTTTGTTTGTTCTGTTTTGAGACTGGCCTGAAACTAGCTGTGAAAACCAGGTTGATCTGGGACTCAGTGCGACCTACCAGACACCTTCCAGTGGTTCTCAATAGTGAATTATTTCCCAGACTTGTGATGCCCCCGTTACCTCACACTAACCACCTACATACACCTGGGTCTGTCTAGACTCTGTTTCTGTTTCTGTGACACCATTCCCTTTAATTGACCGTCTTGCATTATTCCTAAGAGTTTCTCTTGTGCAACTCATCCCGGGTTCAGGTAGTTATGCCCCCTGAAGGCAGGGCTTCCATCCATGAGAATCTTTCCTACTTCCTGTTCTCTGTATGCGGTGGGTAGCACAGTAGGAGAGTACTCAATAGTTAACAGTAGTATTTGCTGATTATATGTTCTGCATGCACAGCACTGGCCTCAGAAATTTAGGAAGAGACTGAGTGACTTGGTTTGCTGTGCCAGTAATTTGCAGTGGTAATCACAGCCCTGTGGATTGTCTGCTAGGCTTGGCTAGGTGTTTCTGGTAATCTGCTGGTTAATGCCAACCGGAGAGCAAGATGCTTTCTTCATGGATCAAGGAGATAGGCAAGGACCAAACCTTGTTTAGCATACATACACAGAGAAGCTTGAAATTAACTAGCTCATCCTTGCTTTCTTGGGAAACAGTGCAGAACTCAGTACCCTCCTGCATAAAGCCTGATCTGTGACCCGTGGTCCAGAGAGCACTGGAGTCCACATCAAGAGCTCAATTTGCAACGTTAAAGGACATAGCTAGCCTGCCATGAATGTGAGGCTTGAGGTGCTGCTGGCATGCTCACCCAGCACACAGGCAGCTGTTAAGAGTTAAGGAGCTGGTTGAATCTCCCCAGCACTGGGGAGGCAGAGACAAGCAGATCTCTTTTCAAGGCCAGCCTGGTCTACAAAGGACAGGCCCCAAAGCTACAAAGAAACCATATCTTGAAAAACAAAAGAGTCAAGAAGATACCACTTTGGCCATGGAGTCTCCAGGAAAGAAGCAAGCCAGCCCCAAGGAATCCCTCAAGTGGGGAAGCTAGTCTTTATTTCCTCTTCTGTTTGCTATGGGCTCGTCTTGCTCCGTTTCCTAGCTTAAGATTTGGGTTATTGTCTCAAGAGCTTGTTTTCTAATGTAAACTGTAACTTCCTTCCAGCTGTACTCTAGTTCTGCATGTGTTTGGTTTTCTTCAGTGTCCTCTTTGTACTGTGGATTATTTACAAGTGTGTTATTCAGCTTCCAACTGGGGGGGGGGTTGTACTGTTGTCTTCCTGTTTCAGATTGTTAAAGTGATGCCACTGTGGCCAGAGCACACTGTGCTTCCAGTCTTGAAATTATGTAAGTGCTGTTCCAACTGTGTGTGGTTACCTTGGTAAAGGTTGTGTCCCCTGGGATCAGGGGTTGCTGGTTCTTTGTCCTTTTTGACTTTTTCTAGTTCTGTCTCAATGTAGGTGGACTAACAGCTTTATAACTGGTTTGCCTATTCCTGTGTTTTGCTATTTCCTCTTTACAGCATAATTAGGTTTTTGCTTTACATATTTTTGAAGCTCTGTTGTTTGATGCATGCATGTTTAGGTTTGCTGGATCTATTTCTCCTTGAACCCCTACCAATTTCCTTTGCTCTGAACTTGCTTTATTTGATGCTAATGCACCAATTTCTGGTTTTGTTTTGGTTTTTTCTCAATTCGTATGGGTAACTATTTCCTTTTTTATTTTCAACTACCCCGCCCCATACCATCATGTTTGAAGTGAGTTGCTTGTCGGATAGGATATAGTGGAGTCCTGGACGTTCTGGAGTCTGTCCCGGCCCGCCGCTGGCCTCTCTGCCGCTCCTTTCTCCAGGCGCCTGGGTGCGCTCGGCCCTGGACCCGGCGGGCGGGCCGCGACCCTCTCCCACGGACCCTCCAGCAGGCCCAGGGGACAAAAGTGGATCTCAATCTAGCACATGCGCATTGAAGCAATTTAAGAATCTGATATGAAGCACAGAAGCAGATAGTGCCAAATAACAAGCCCGTTGTTTCACATTTGGTGAGTGGGGCAGCATTTCCTTCTCCCACTGCTGCTGAGATGGCAGAAATTAGCCGAATTCAGTATGAAATGGAATACGCCGAAGGTATTAGCTAATGAGGGTCCCAGAAAAATTAAAAGTAGCACCGCCAAATGCTGACCTGGACCAAGGGTTCCAAGAAGGAGTTCCAAATGCCAGTGTGATAATGCAAGTCCCAGAGAGGATCGTTGTCACAGGAAATAATGAAGCCATTTCATTTTCAAGACCAGCAGATCTTGACCTTATCCAGTCCACTCCTTTTAAACCTCTGGCACTGAAAATACCACCACGGGTGCTCTAGAGAGACCACTAGATTTTCTGGATTTAGAAAGACTACCTCCAACTCCTCAAAACGAAGAAATCCAAGCAGTTGGCAGGCTAAAAAGAGAGCGTTCCATGAGTAAAAATGCTGTTCGCCAGAATGGACAGTTGATCAGAAATGATTCCATGTGGCACAGATCAGATTCTGCCCCAAGAAATAAAATTTCAAGGTTCCAGGCATCGATTTCTGCACCGGAGTACACTGTGAGAAGACAAAATGAGATACGTTGTGAAAGACCTGTGTTGCGTGGTGGGTCAGCTTGCCGCCACTTCTAACCATCTTCATGACAACCGCAGGTTGTATTATTGCGGTTCTGGGGACAAACCTGGGGACTTGCACATGTGTGGCATTTCAAACATAGATGCAGTCATTGAAGGAGCATTAGATGACATGACTGTGGTAGATGCAGCTTCGCTAAGACGTCAAATAATCAAATTAAATAGATGTCTGCACCTTCCTTCTAGAAGAGGAGAATAAAGAACGTGCTAAAAGAGAAATGGTCATGTATTCAATTACTGTAGCATTCTGGCTGCTTAATAGTTGGCTCTGGTTTCGACGCTAGAGGTAACCTCAGCATTCACATATATTGTCTCAACACCTGGAAATATAAAGGATTTGCAAACTTCATTGTTTCTGTCTTTGCATTGTGCCATTTTATAGTCCAAGCCCTGAAAATGTATTTCTTCCAGAAAACAGGGGCCTGTTCTGTTACTGATCTGCATTCAGTCAGGTCTGCAGTGGCACCTACATTCTCACCTTTTGCATGTTTTGTAAATAGGCTCTAGGCTTGTTTGTTTGTTTTTAAAGAAAATCATTTGGGGGGAGGGCTCATTAGTCTGTACAGCTAATTTTCTAAAAAGAAATGACTGTCATAAAGAATGAGTTTAGAAAACTATCTGTAAAAGAAAAGTGTTTCTCAGATGACTAACCCGTTTCTTTGACAGATGCTTTTTGTATCTGCATCACAATATCAATGCTTTTGAAGTCATAGGTGCAGCACTTAAGAAAAACCAAGCACCTAACGCTTCTTGATCACCTGTACAGGGACAGTGTAAAAACTCCTAAGATGATTCAGCAGCTTATCTGGGTGTAATATGTTGTTCTGGTTTTCTTCTTAAGTTTTCTATCAAATATGTTTTTACCAAGTCCATGTGTGAATGATTTTCTAAAAAAACTAAAAAATAGGGTATAAATGTAGTGTACTTAATAAACTGTCAACCAAAAAGAAAAACAAAAAAAAAGATACAATATAGTGTTCATTCCATCCTGCCACTTCCTGCCTTTTACTCGCTGTACACAGCACCTTTGTAATTAGAGTAGATTGTCAGCTTTTTGTCTCCCATTGGCTTTCTGTTGTCGGCTTGGGTTTTTTTTTTCCATTTATTATTATTATTATTATTATTATTATTATTATTATTATTTGGGAAGAGGAAGAGGACACAGAACTTATTTGGGAAGAGGAAGAGGACACAGAAAGTAGAGGACAACTTTTTGGAGTCAAGTCTCTCCAAAAAATTGAGTCCCAGAGACTGAACTCAGCAGTCAGGTCTGGTGGCAGATTCCCTTTCCTGCTGAGCCATTTCCCCAGGCTAATGTCTGTTTTTTTTTTTTTCTTGCATTCCTGGATGCTATAATTTACCAATTCCCAAATCAAGAATGAAGCAGCTCTGTGCCCATCGGGGTAGTCTCTCATTCATGAGTGTGATTCCTCTAAACCAGCTACATTATTTTTTAAAATAAGATTTTAATTGCTTACCTCAGTCTGTTCGAAAGTCATGGTGAGCATTTAGACATCCCCGCCCCTCCACCTGCAACAACCAGTTCCTTCACACACCCCAAACATCAGGACTCAAGTGGTCTGAGGAACTGTCTGTTCACCATCTTCAGTGTGCTTGATCACATCACAGGCTACACACTGCATTCCCCTGGCTACTCTGGTTGTTTTAGGGTGAGCCTGTAACCACATGCCAGTGAAGTAACAAGATGTGCAGGAGCTTTCGAAGGATCTGTCTCCTATTGTAAGTTTAAGGTTAGACTGGCAGAGACGACAAACAGCCATCTTGAAGACAGGCATAGTGTTTAACAGAACTTGAAGAACCACAGAAGAGGACTCTGAGGTCACAAAACCTAGAGCCAAGCCAGTGCAGAAGACATAGCTGCCTTTAGAGTCTTCATTTATACATTTTTACAGGCCCCCTGAGACTGTCTACAGCTAAAGGCTGAATGCATTTTACTTCTCTCTGTGTGGCACTCCCAAGGCATTTTCTTAATAAAACTGTTCTCACTCAGCACCTATTTGACAGAGACTGGTTTGTGATCCACTGGCAGGTATAGA